GTCAGACGCTGATCAGTCATAAGAAGAAATTTATTGAGCTGATTACGCAATTCAATTGCTCCGTAACAGCTAACCTAAATGGTACAAAATTGATATAAAATTCAATACTTTCATCTTCTTTCTAAAAGGATCAGGATCATATGTGGTGCAGATAAAATTAATTATGGAAAGTATTACTCCTAGCTACATTTTTAAATGATGCATTCATTTATTAATTAATCAATCCAGCGATACTTCATTTAACCTGGTAGTGACACATCCTATTCTGTCTGCTGTAGCCCCAGGTACTGGCCATCGTATCTATCCTTCTTTCCCCAGCTATAATTCATACTCTTACCTTCCAGAACTTGATTACACTCACCTGATCAAGCTCTCATTACAGGCTGCTAAATAAGATTGTACTCCCATACCTGTGAGGCAGATGGTCGTTTACATACTGCCTTTGATGGAGTGGGGCAGTTCCATGAGATGTCCAGATGTGAAAGCATGAGGTGGGGTCTCAGGAGTGAGTTTTGCCCATTGCCAATTCCGGGATGGACTAATTCCGAACTGCATGATGAGTTGGCACCGTCAAGAATGCATATGTGTGTGTGTGTATCAGTAAGCTTTGCTCTCAGTAAGTTTGATACTGTGACACACTGATATTGAGTAACATTCAAGTTATTCTTGTCATGCGAAGTTACAAGTCTCGTCTAACTTTTTCTCAGGAGACTTTACAAAGTGACTTTTAAAATGAGACAGGGGTTACAGGCAAAGCACTGATTACCACTTAATCAGCTCTGTCAGGATGACAGTTTAAATGAAAAATTCAATCAAGGCTTTGTTTGCCAAATTGAAAGTATTTTCATGAATGCAAGGGTAAGGATTTTCTAAATATCTGAACTAAGGGGAGGAAGAGTCTTTTATGGTACATGTTCACATACTTTGTAGAGGTTTCTGTCATTACTGGCCTTCAACTTTCAAGCCATTGTGTGTTGCTGCGTCTCCCAACACGCTTTGTGTATGAAAGAAAATGCATTTGACACCTGTAGCATAGATACTTTGTAATATTATTTTGGAAAGACTATGATGTGTTCTGATATGAACTTGATATGTGTTTTACATATTCAGAAGGGAGAACTCCCATACAACATGATATAATGTGTGGATTAAGGAGAATTTACTATGTGAACCATTCATGATTTGGACGCTGAGCCATCAATCAAATTCCCAAACAGATCAAATTCAAATACTTCCAATAATAAGCTACATAATATATGTGAGAGAGGTTAGGCAGAGGCAAAAGACACTGCCCAGCCCTACAGGATTTGATTACCTTTTCATTTGATCCAGCTCTATCCAGTCACTAAATATGTTTAACGCGTCATATTCAAATTGGAACATTTGGTTTTCTTTTCATTCCTATGTTTTCTCTGTCAGGAGCTGTGAATTAGAGCATCAGTACATCACTTGCATATGAAAGGTGTATGTCTTATTCCCCAAATATTAAGACTGTTTCGTCATATTTACTAAAAGTTGTTTGATCTCTGGAGGTTTAACAGTAACATTTCATGAAAGTGCATGGTGTGCCCTTTTGTGTGTACTGACAGGTAATAAAAGGAAACCGGAAACATTCACCAGAAAGGATGGGCTTAATTTACCATCAGAGCCCTGTGATGCTTTAATTTAACCATGCTTACAAGTGTAAATGTGTTTTAATTCTCACCAAAGACCGACATGACAGCTGCGCTTAAAGGATGCAGTTCATAGTAATCTCCACCCCTATGGAAATATGACAAAAGTTCTCATGCCTTGGTCTTCAAGGGGATCAAAATGAAGAGAATAATAAGAGTTAGGATCAAATTCTGTTGGGGTTTATGTAAAAGCAAGGCTTTGTCATATAAATCTCACTAATGGCCTTTCTTTCAGCTGGCTGCTTCTCACTGTGATGGACAAAGCCTGCGTGAGATCAGAGAAAAAAAGAAAGATGAAAGGGAGAGAGTTGTATCAGTGGCTCTTCCAGTGATTTATAGTACATGCGAATAGATAGAAAGATGGGTGACTAATGAAATGTAGAAAATAGTGACTGATACAGGGGAACAGGACCAGGTCCGGAATATGATTTTGAGGTGAAATATAACTAGGAGAATAAAGACATGTTTAAATTCAGGGAAAGTGGGTGAACATAAACCAAAATAGAACTCTTAGTAACCAGTAACTGTTATGTATTGCATATTCAGCTCAGTCTCAAAGTTTTTCACCAAACAAAATGGGTCACGCAGATGTTTCTCATCATTTATGCCCCGCACAACTAAGCGTGAACAAGTTTTTTTGGTCATATGTGAAAAAGCTCACAGACTTTGAGGGGAGGAGGTGAAAGATTGATGAAGGGCTACACCGAGCTTCTGAATTAAAAGAGCATCCTATCCTATTAAAATAATTAAAAAAACAGACCTCATCTGCCTCCTTGTAACAAGGTGTTAAATATTGACTAATGCGCTTTAGTGATTTGCTTGTGTTGGTCCGGCAGTAGTTTTTATAAAAAACATGAGATTTTTATTTAAAAAATAAAATAAAAAATTTTTTGGTTGGAGCTGACATTTAATGTTAGCATACCACTAGACTTTCTAATATTGCTCACGTTGTGTTTTGATCCAAATTCAAAGGGGATAAAGGAGTAAGTTTTATCAGACAGCATTAAAATAATACCAGGAGTCAGAGGCTGTTGAAAAGCTATTTGTTTTTATATGTCATTTAGGATAACAGAAAAATAAATAAATAAATAAAAAAACAACAACGGAAAAAAAACACACACAAAGACATGCATTTTGGAAGAAAAAAATTGGGTCTAGGAGATGGAGCATAAAGAGGGGAACACACACTTTGGAATACATGAATACATCAGCATCCTTTCAGTGATCTTTTAATCTTAGTGACATTTTATTCTAATACATGAATTCATAAATATAATCTTCTCTCACCATATTGCCTATCTATACAAGTCTCATACATCTAACTGTACATCTACTGCATTATATTGCATATCTCAAATAGAGGTGGGGTATTCAATAAGTCATTTACCACTCTGGCTTCCTTTAAAAGGAAGATATTATAATTGAATGAGCAGAATAGGGGTATAAAAGACAAAGCAGAAACAGAGATAAATACTGAGGTTTCTTTTATCTGATTGGAAACATCCATAGAAACACCCTGCAGTGTGTTAACGTTGACATCTTGGTGTGATATGTGCGGTTGTTTAGATGTTTGTGTGATGACCTTTGTGTGTGCTTTATATGATGCTCTGTTTGAGTGCATATAAGTCCACCTGAGGTCTACCTGGTTTGGATTTCAGATATTACGACACAGTTGTATTCAACAATGGGCCGGCGCGGTTTTTTCAGAATGATTCGTGCTCAAAGTTATACACTACATCAATTTTTAATCACATTGCTTGCCAAAGTACATTATTTTTTTAATATCTTGCTACACACAAGCAGACCTGGGTCAAATAATTTCAAGGGTTTAAAACCTGCCTAAACCTGACTTAACCACTACTATATCATGTGCTCACATGGCAAAAGTCAGACAACCTGCTTCAGTTTCTTGACAGTTAGGAGGTTATATTCTGTGTAAATGCTTTTAAAAACGTTTGAAATAGGTTTGATATTGTTCTGTTTGATTTAAATCTCTCATCCCAAAGAAAACACAGCCAGATATCTGTCTTATTCTTTCAGACTGACTAGTAGTGCTGGTGCTTTTTTGAGATTCAAACAAATTATAGTACGTTTACAAGATAGCAACCAAGCAATAAGCCCTGCTACAAAGCAATCAATAAGGCGAGTACGAGAGAAAACATAATGGAGCTTTTTGTAATGTAATTGGGCCAAGACAAAGCAAAGCCAATCCAAATGAGTCATCGAGTCATCAAGCGGCTAAACTTTCCCTGCATCAAGAATATTTCTCTTGAATTTAGGTAACCAAGTAAATAGATACAGATACTGATAATTTCCCTATGTTTACTTTCCGGCTGTCACTGCTCTGCTTTGATATTGTTTGAACAGTTTTCATATTCTCAGTTCAATAAGGAAGCACTCACTTCATTGATGCATATTTCTCTATATTACGAGCATCAGAGAAAATATATAAAGGAACTGACGTGCCTTGCAGACATTGTCTAACACTATTTGGTCCAGGCCTGCGCTCAGTACACTTTAGCCCTTTCAAGTGTTTGTAGGAAGTAAAAACAACCCACTGAGAGTGGAAAATGCTTCTACTGCCTCCCCACACGTTTTCCCAGCAGCAGTTACATCTTATTTTTATTTAAAACAAACCATTTTTCAGTCTGCTCCTTCCATCCTTGTCTCCCTCTTACTCACAAATGGAGACAGACATGTAATCAAAAACAAACAGAAAGAAAATACATAACCTTTCAGTCTTTTACTCACCGTCAAATCTGCTAAAGATGAAAAGAGATTAATGCTACGGTTACGGAAATAAAAAAAAGAGAAAAGACTAGCTGTACAAAGTTTAGTGTTCCTTTAAAGGAGCTTAAGATTGTGCCATGTGTCCAGTGATGACAGTAACGTTTGAGCAAAGATTGTGGGCACATTAGGTTAAGCAAGCCCTGTATAATCACATTTAACATAACCTTTGTTATGTTCTGGCTGCTTCCTCTGATGGCTCCTGATTTTTCTTTGATGATGGCTCAAATACAAAGCCCAGGATTACCACATCTCTGGAGTCCAAATCCTGTTGTGCTAAAAGCTAAAACCCATCGTTACAACTTTCAAAACCCATCAAAGAGCAGTCAAATCCTACGCAAAAAAAGGGGTTACACCCCACAATTTAATTTATTTAGAAATGACAAATGTGAGGAGAAACGTGAGAGTAGAGATTACAGAAAGAAGATAGAGAATTTAAGAGTTTCACAGGAAATTGTGTTGAGAGGTCTCTCCCATGTCCTGTTCAAGGTCCAGAAAAGCAAAATTCGACAGGTCCACTGGAGACAGGCAACAGGTGTTTCATCTTTTTTTCCTAGAGGTTGTATCTGTTGGCTGTTTGTTGCTTTTGGTGCTGAAACCTGTCAAATGACTGTCTCCCTCAGCACCTCTCTCCCTTCCCTCTGTCCAGGGGTTGGACAAGAAACCATGGGCATCAATTCCATAGAAGTAGCAGCCATCTTTACCCCGGGCAGATCGATTAGACTGGTCTAGAGAGCCTGTGCTGTTACATTTCTTCACCAATGTGGGAACCAGAGTGCTCGGAGAGAGAAGGGATGTCAGCGAGAGGCTGTTCAGCGTCTCTGACAAGTGTTCGCTGTTGAGAGCCTGGCGGCAACCCTCTCTACCTGTTTCCATTCCAATCTCCTCATCTGAGGGGTTCATGGAGTCCTGTTTGGGGCAGCTGGGGTTGATGCTGGCTCTTTCGCTGCTTTGACTCCTCTGGTGCCTTCTAGTAGCTTGGAGGGTCAAAGCAGGACGGTGTCTTTTTAGCAAAGACTGACCCAGGCCAGCCGAGGGTTGTCCGCGTGGGTTCACAGAGCGTGAAGGACTAGGATCGAGGAGAGACATCCGTGGACTCAGGTCTTGAGATGGAGAAATACTAAAGCTGAGCCCTTCTTCTACTGTGGTCTCGACGCTGCCCTCTGAACTACCTGTGGCCAGGGATGAGTCACTGTGGGATGGATGCTGGACAGAGAGAATGATAACTTAGATCAAACAATTTCATTCAGCTACAATTTAATTCAGATGTATTCACTATATTTCAGATTATGCCCTTTTTTGTTCTTTCCCTCAATTGACAGAAACAAGTTACAGTTCCTATTATGTGTGTTTAGCTTCTCATTACAAAAGCATCAAGTAAATATACAGGAAGAGTATTTCAACCAACTTCACACAGCACTGATTTATATTTCACAACACATAGAGTATTAAGAAAACTTGGACTTGATAAAACAGCTAAACAAATGTTATTGCGAAGAGGAGAAGGGACTTTTGCTCAAAGTGCTCTCCCATTAGGAGAAAATCCAGCAAAGTCGCACATCCCACATAGTAAAAAGAGATTTTCTCTCATTTTCTCAGTACACAACACCAGACTAAAACAGTGGAACAAAACGACAGAGGACCAAGTGGAGAGAGAGAGAGAGAGAGAAAGATTTCTCAAGAGGGAGATAAAGGAAATGGAAGAAAAAGCGACAAGAGAAAACGTGAAGCGACTGAGCCAAGAACAACAGTGTGCGCAGCATCAGTACCGCGCTCAGGGCTGGCTAGGCTAATTAGCTGAGGGCCGCAGTGCATTACTGTAGCAGCTGAGGATCACAGAAGCACTCAGGCAATAGCTCAACAAACCAAGCAGGTAGAGGAGGGAGTAAGTATTTGTTTCCATGGTTACAAAAATGGGGAAAAAAAAGACTAAAATGGGAGCTTTTTACTGCTATTTCTTTCATTCATAAACAAAGAGAGTTATGGCATGAATTTCAGCATAGAACGACTTTGTGAAACTTACATAGTTTCCAGTACATCAAGACAGGGATGCTAAGTTATGAGTGTTGAGGACCTTAGCACACAATAATTTGGAGTGTTAACATTTAAGTGTAATTAGATTATATTAGAAGACTCCTTTTTTATATTCACATTGAGGCTGATTATATACAATTCCTTACTGGTAAAAGAAAAAAATCTAAATCTATGTGCGTGTATGTGTCTGCACTCAAATAATGTTAACTTTGATTACTAAATTTCTACTCAGAATCATCAAGATACAATACCTGAGAGCTGAGAGGTCTGCTGTTGGCTCCAGGTGAACGGAGGGAGGCCCAGGAAGCTGGAGAGGCCAGCCTGGACGGCCTTCTGTCCCCTGGGCTGACACTGTCCCCAGGACTATCTGAATGAGCTGCAGCAGCAGGATGAAAGAAGTCTGCAGGTAGGTGAAATATAGGTGGAGGCAGCCCACTAATCCCACTGCAACTTCCACCATTGTCATCTGAAACAACAGCATTACAGCGTAGAAGAGTCAGTCTACAAAAAATCAATTACACTCTAAAGTGCACATTAGGATCCTGAGTTAAGTGGCCTTTCATCACTTGTCTATACCAGCCTCCATACTTTGTCTTAGACAGTGTACGACCTGGATGGGTCACTATTCCATCACAGGGACACAAGGAAAGCATGCTCACATGTATCTGAATTTTTTGGGAAGAAAAATGCTTCATGTATGTAACTGATCACCGTTATTGGGGTTGAAGTTTAATTGTGGAACCCATTCCCCTTTATCATTCTTATAATTAAGATAAGAAAAATACTAAAGTAACTTTTTCTGTATACTAATGATGACCACGGTCTGTTTCTGGTTATGCGTCTCCGTATCTATTAAGGTTTTAAATCTTTGTTTACTTTGGTAATGCTTAGAATTGTTTTTCTAAGCATTTAGAAAGCTCAGAATAGTTACGAAAAAATCAAGACATCTCTGTCTTGATTTTTGCATCCCAGAACATCAAAAGCTCATGTGCTGATAAAAAATTACAAATAAAAATGACCAGGACAAACATTTAATGAACAACTAAAACTCCCAATTTCTCCCTTGGCATAAATCTAGCCCACTTGGATTAAAGCCCACAGCAAGTGCTCCTGACCAAATGCTCTGTTGTTAAGTTTGAATACATGATTAGCTATGCACACGTAAATCACAAGTGAGTGTACCCTGATAATAAAAATCAACCTTTTAAGTTGTGTTAGCGGTGCATTTGCTCTGGTACCTTTGCCGTGTGCAGGACTTTGCTGCTCCGCTGAGGGAAGATTCAAACGAGGATGAATCGTCCCCTCAAACAGCTCTTGGACACAGCACTCACTTCCTGAGCTGGAAGCATGAAGCCCCCTGTAGCCTCCCTGTGTAGGCAGGTCCTCTGAACTGTGCGAGTCACTGCTGCCCCTCTGAGAACAAGACAGGAGAATTAGGAGATAAATTGAAGACAGAGAAGTGAGTGAACAGGAAAACGAGAGGAGATGGAGGTGCTGCAAGAGTCGGCACAACATCCAGGTGCGCTGATGTGCACTGGGGCAAGGAAGATATCAAACTGAAGCCTTTCATTTCCCCTTGTCATAATGGAAATCAATTTGTTTTCCATTTCAAAAAGCTCTCTCACAGTGCACCTTGCTTTATCCATCTATACAAGTCTGATTTGAAATTGCAAGTGATAACAAGAAAATAATGGCAGCACTCGAAGAGACACGTCTTGGTTCAAATGAACTGGTTGTTCACATTGAAGTAATGATGCAGGCCAAGTGGAAGTGCTGTGAACTGAATGCACACAGTGCAAGAAAAGATGGCAGCATGAAAGGCAAACTATCTCACACATGCATGAATTTATATTCCAGTGCATGTGCACCTTGTGTTTGGTGTTGTAATCATGTGGCATGTAAATAGATGATGGTGATAAGCAAGATAATGGAGGGTGAGCCTCCTCGAAAAATAATCTAATCAAAACCAATGATCTTTTTTATTTACACTCATAAGGGTTTGATACCAGAAAGGACTTTTTTGTGTTTCAGAAAAAAATACAGAAGTGTAGTAATACACATTATTCCATCCTGTTCCCACATTTGAATAAAAAAAAAAGGCTTTTAATCTGATATTTGAAAGGACGTCTGTAAGTACCTCAAATTCCATTTTCTAGATCTGCCTATTCCTAGCTGGGTCTTGGGAGGGCTGGAGCCCATCCCAGCTGTCATTGGACAAGAAGCGGGGTGAACCGTGGACAGACTGCCAACCGGTCCTCCATAATTTCTCAAATAGAATTTTAAAATTAGAACAATCTGACCACCATCTGATGGCAGAGGATAAAATGTGCATTTGTCTATAACTGAGTTTACAGTCAATTATTTCTGGAAGTTTCCATGTGGTTGTGCTGTATTCCCATGATAAAATCAGCAAGGCTTTAAAATGCCGTCATTTTTGGAAACAGCCATAGTTTCCTCAGAACCTTTAGTGATGGTGTACGGCAAATCACGGAAAATACAAAGTATTCACATTTAGCACCATCATGCTGTAATTGCATTGCAAAGTGCCTTTTTATACACAATCATGCTGCTGACCTGTTGCCAGTTTTGTAACCTGATTGGTTGTTAAATATTTATTTTTCTCTTGATTACCAATCATACCCCTGTAGCCTGTTGATTTGTTACTCACACAAATCACAACACAAATCTCTACTCCAACATTTACATTTATTTTCTCTGGTCTGTTGTGAATAAAATATTGTTTCCTGATATTTTACAAAAAAATGGATTCTGGTTTTAATCACTTTTGGAAGCAGAAGCACACATGGTTATGCTGACTCACACTCAGTGATCCGTCAATTTAATTGGACATTTTTTTCATGAATTTGAGATCAGAGCGCTGTTGAATTCTAAGTGTTCCAGCAGGACAAAGTTTAATATTAATGTTTTCAGGTTCCTTGCTGATAGGGACAGAAGCAGTTTCAGTGGATTAAGCCCATTTTGTACAAATGCCTGTGTGTCTCGCATCAAAGAGTAGTGTACATGAGAGCCCAGGATGCAGTAAAAGTGTGTTTTATGTCACCCAGGGAGTGGCCATACCTGACTGCCACTGACCAGCAGCTGGTAGCTGCTGTGTTCATCCAGGCTGAGGTCATCAGGTAAAGCTGGAGATGACGATTTGTCTGACAGCTGCTCTGACATCAGCGATGCCTGCTCCACCTCTGCCAGCCGTATCTGTCTCACACAACCCAACACAGTCAGCCAAAGGAGAGCAAAAGCTTGTCCACAGAAAGGAGAACAATAATTTTGATGCAACTGACAGAGATTTTACCTTTGATTTTCAGCAAGATAAATAATCATACTGATTTTCTTTGCATTTTCCAAATGTTTAAGACAAATACTGCATTACAAAAATGTGACATGTGGTACACACGTGACATGTGGTACACTTGTCACATGTGGCATATGGTACAATAACAAATACAGTTCAGCGTGAAAAAATGTCTGTTTCGTTAACATAGTCAGATTAAGAAATTCTGTCACACCTGTTTTTTTTTGTTGTGTTTTTTCATGTTTTGGTCCTGTTATATTTTGAAAAGTACATCTATCGTTTCAGGTCACTTGCTCTTCCCTGTGTGTAGCCTGTCTGGTTGTCTCCCCTAATTACAGATTGTGTTCACCTGGGGCTCCCTTCCCTTCATGTGTTTAAATAGTCTGTGTCCCCCTTGTCTGGTGCCAGTGTGTTTTGTTACGTTTGTCATTTTGACTATTGATCCTGAGCCCTGGACATTGTTGTGGAATTTCTTGCCGTGATTCCCTTAGTATTCCTCATAAAATAGATTATTATTTGGTACTTTCATAGTTTTGTCTGTCCTCAAAAGAGCGAGTATTATTTTGTACCTTCAAAGTTTTTTCATGCCTCGAAAAAGAGATTATTATTTTATACTTTGTCTGTAATTTTTTTCTTCCTCGTATGAGATATTATTTTCTACTTTTCATTTGCTTCTACTTTGAGAGTGTGCATTTTGTTAATAAAGAATTTGTATCTGCCAAGCTCTGCAAGTTCTCAGTATACCTAAATTACCCAAATACCTTAAATTTGAAGAACAACCGCAGCAGAAAGAGTTGATTGAAGGGGAGGTAAGATGAAAGCTTATTGAGTAACTGTATTCATATCAAAATTGTTAAAATGTCACATTATGTCAGACCCTAACAAAGAGTTAACACTAAAAGTATCAGAGACTGAATTAGGTATTATTTGCACAAAAAAGCTGTGCAGTGAGGTCCCACCTCTTCGAATTCAGCCTTTGACGGCAAGCTTCCCTGACTCATAAAAGGAAGCGCACACACAGATCAGAAAATGAGAAAATTGCGTTCAGCTAATATTAAAAGTGTTGGACAGATTAATTCACATCTGTGTATGTCATGATGAAATTGCAGTGAGACTACATCACGTAAGTGTCATGTGATGGTGAAAAGTGCAGCTGGACCTTTAGGGGGAACATGTCTCGATTGCATGGAGAAAATGTCACAATATTTCTTTGGGCCAGATTGTGTAATGCAGCACGTATTCTGACAGCTAAGCTCTGTGTTACTGGTTGTAGATATTTCCACCATGAAGGCAAATTACATTCACGTTTCCACAGTATCTAATTTAGTTTTGAATAGAATGTAAATCAGCTGAATAATGGAATGGACAAATACCATTTGTAATGTACCCCTAAGGACCAGACAGGTAGAAATTAAATCTTAACAGCCAGGCTTCAATACGTTTCACACTTTATTCTCTCGATCAAAACATTTGTAGTTCTAGGGCACTGATGTATTTACCCATTCAGTGTTATGAAAACTGCATTACAATTCTGTATTTTATCTCGACAACGATGCAAATGTGTGCATTTCATTGTTGTTATCATCAGTCATTTTTAAATGCCTAAACATATTTCATGGTAAAAACATTTTTTATGCTTTGAGAAACATCATGAAACATTAAGGTGGATCTTAATGTATCTGTTCATACCATTTATAAAATTATCAAAAAAATGATTTATTTGCATGTGCCACACAATTGAAATATTACATTGCTTAAACCCTTAATTTATCACTATACATGTATTTCTGTTTGTGTGTAACAATTTTTTCTCTTTTTAGGTGAATGTTTTCATGGATAAACAAAGGGAACTGGGGGTTTTAGGGAACCTCTGAGTGGAAGATTCTGCAGGTATATGGTAATGTTTGAACTTGTGTTGAGGTGGGGAAAGATAAGTGGGTCTCTGGGTAGCAATACAACAAAGGTCAGCTTAGACACTCTTTCTCTTTCAGTGGGACACACTGCATATGTGGTTTTGATGAGTAACATAAAACTATAAGCAATTATGAAACAACAACAGCAAAAAAAAAAGACACACAAACACTGACAACTAATTTGAATAAATATTTAGGTTTGGACCTGGCCTCGTAGTTTCCATTTTGCACCACAAGAATACATAAATACGATCCTAAATTAAGCAAACAGACTGAAAATATTATAAGCAGGAAATACACGACTTAAAAAAATCAACCATATCAGTCTTCCTCAGGCTCAATGAAGGGAAATGGTTATTTATGGTTCCCCTGGCGGATAGAGACAGAATGGGAGTGTGTCTGTGCATGCCGGAGACTCACCTCTTGTGGGTGATTCTTGCAGTCCTTACAGACAGGAGAAGAACAGTAGTGGTGAAAAACTGAACCTGAGAGGTTGTCTATCAAGTCTCCTTCCATTGAGTCCTTAATCAGCAGAGAGACACTGTCCAACCACTGGCTCTCCTACACACACAAGTATACACTCTTATGAACTTTATATAATTTACACAAAGCACAATAGCTGCTTTAATGGTACAGAGCACATTAAGAGTACAGGAATCAAGAAATATGTTTTTCTATGACGTGAGACTAGTGCATTTTCATATCACAAAAGCTGGCTTGAGATTCAATTTTAAAAATGACGACTGCAGCTGTCAAAGAACAAAAACAACATATTTATTGCAAAAACAACAGTTATTGCTGCTGCCGGAAGCAAATAAAGAAAAACTGTTGCAACCACATGACAAACTTCAGACTTCAGGCTCAATGAGGCCACTGGCATATCCATCACCCAGTTTTCCGTCACAGCTTTGTCACGGCTCAAAGACTCGAAGGGTTTTTGTCACTTTATCAATCTGCTGCGCTCTGCCAGCTAATTCCATCCCTCTACATGCCACCATCTCGACTCATCCGCACTACGTCATTTACCTGGCCTGAACCAGTTGCATATTTTTGCAGAAAAAGATCTGTCTCCGATCCTGTGTCTCGTCCTTCTCTTTTTCTTTGAAATCTCAAACTTGTCTACTTTTCCTCCTTTCATGTTTCTCTTTCATCACTTCTTCTTCTGTACGACACGCTGACTATGTCATGGGAAGTGTTGTTTAATTAAGCACCATCTGTTGAAGCCAGTGTTATTTTCAGCCGCCGTTGACAGCTACCAGACAGATATCACTGACTTTTGCCTGCTTTAAGCCAAGCCAAAGGAGAAGACAAATGTCAATGTGGGGAGGCTAATTGCATGATCTTTAGGGAAAAAAAGAAGGGGAAAAAGGTACTTATTCTGCATTAGGTGAGCTGTAGATGGCTCAGGGAGCAAAAAGAGTTGCATTGAATAACCTGTTATAGTTGATAGAGTTCTGCCTGAATATTTCTGTCATATTAATGTGACAAAAACAGAGAATAAATATAAGATAAAGAGGCAGTCTTAAAGTTTGAGTGCAAAATATACTCATAGCTTAAGGGTAAAGGGGAAAACATCTAATCAGGCAGCACTTTTTCACTCGGTGATAACTTTTTGGAGTGCAGAAAGGTTTGAGAACAAATCATGTTTAAATAATGCTTAAGGATGCTAAAAAACATTTAATTCTATTGGTCCTATCTCTGGTTGTATTTATTTTATTTTATTTTTTTTATTTTAAACATATTTTCTTGCACATAGTCTTATATCACAAAGACTATTTTTGTCTCCAGTGAACCTCCATTTTTTTGTTAAAGTTCAGACTGCTTGTTTCTTACAATAAAACCCCGCCTGTGTCTGTCCATGTAGCATAAGAGTGCCAGCAAATGAGTGTGAGGTGAGGAGAATATCCACAATCCAAAGCCAGTCCCTGGCGGCCCACACCTATTCACTTTGAGCACAGTACACACTGATTTGAGTGCTGTGCGATGCACAGAGAGGGGCGAGGCAGCTTGATTGATTGACTTTGCTGGGGGCACTCCTCGTGGTAAACATCAAACCTGCATGATTCCCTGCTGTTTTCCCTCTAACTCTCAGGAGTGCATTGTCCTTTGAATCTGTTCTGTTCGCAGAAATGTCATACATTCATACCACATTTTTTTTAATTTATTGAAACACACATTGTACTGTTTGTGAGAAGTTTTCATCTTATCAACATCTGATTTAATTTGGAGTGAGTTTACATTTCCATCACTTTTTTAAATGTGCCCCTTACATTTTAAGAGTAACTATTTTCATGAACACTATTACAGATGCATAATTAAACGACTGCCTCCACATGAAGCTTGAATTATATCTTTAAACTGAGGATGTCCAGAGTTAAGCAGAAAAAAACATAAGGCAATAAACTAGAATATTTTTAAGATCTGTTTCCTCTCTTGATCCCAAGAAGAGCATTCAGAATATGTGGTCCTCATTTGGAGACACACTTTGAGGAGATTTTCCGCCGAAGATGTACAATGTTTCCTCATGCAGCAAGATTCTGCTCTATTGTTCTGGTTATTAATGTGACAACATTAATCGAAAACAAATGCATAAGATCTCATTCTGTCTATTTAGACATCAAGAGAGTAAAAGTCTAAACCCTGCAAACTAAGAAAATGGTTGCATGTAATCTAGTGAGGGTATTTACTGGCTAATAAGAATAGAGATTAGAATTACGGTGCACTTTTGAAGGCACATAGAAACAACTCCTTTTCCACTTCTCCACTGCTCTTTTTACTCTTTTCCTGGTTAAAAATACCAGTAGACTGACAGACAATGAGCTATAAACACAATGAGCCTGTGGTAGAGCCTGCCACCCACTCACAATTTCACAGCCTCTTCCTACCAGTCCAGTGTCAGCATCTCTCCCTGTTTCCCCATCCTCGCCTCACTCCCCTATTGATTCAATGTCATTCTTTCAGAAGGGTGACCGAGTTAATTTCCTTTGCTATGAACCAAAGTACAAAAGCTTTATTAAGTTCATAAAGCATGGCACGGTTACCTATAAAACACGGTTTGTTGTTGATAGTAAGGAATCTTACATAAGCTTTTGTAACTATAGTTGAGAGAAATAACATTTGTTTTGAGGTTGTCAGGTTGATATTAGATTTTGACAAACTACCGTAATTTAATTTCAAAGTTCTCTTACATTTGGCTGATTAATAAACTAAATTTAATAGAATCCATTCTTATAATTTTGGCATCATAAATCACAACACATCCTCCCACCATCTAAAAACATGCATGTTAGGTGAACTGAAGTCTCTAAATTTGGTATGGACAATGAATGAATGAATGAAATCATAACAAAAAGGTACATCGAGTCTGGGCCAGTTTGGATTCATGACAGAGGGGAAATAATGACATCGTGTACCATTTAAGGCAGCAACATTTTTACCTGATAAGTCAGTTTAATTCCTCATTTTATCCCGCATCCTTTTAATCAGCTATTAAACTTATGTCGGTCGCACTGTAAGCCAATAGTATAGCAGTCTTTCTAGAGCGCAACAAATCTGAGATAGTCTTCTCTTTTTTTATGTTAAAAATAGCATTTAGGAACCGTTTAAAAGGAAGAGAAAATTGTAAAGGAGGTAATTTCATCCAGTTCATTGGGTTTAACTGCAGCATCTTTCCAAGGATAACTTACAGGGGCTATTAAAAGTGTTGTTACATTTAGCAGAAGGTAAAACTACTGTTTGTGCAGAGACATTATTTTTATGGGCGGTAAACTAAAAATAATCAAGTGATTCTGCTTGTCTTCTAACCTTTAATGTTCCAGAATCTTTTGAGTTGAAATTTCTTTTCTGATTTCAGTATAAATTAATTTTTTCATCTATTGTTCCTCTTTTGTTATATGTAGCTATTTTCAGCCAAAACAGCCATTGTACTGTTTCTGCCCATCAAAAGATGGATGGTTAAACAATGAAACCAAGCAAATGTTAAAGAAAAGGAGCAGTGAGCAGTTGCGAAGGTGAAGACCAAAATAGCTTGTAGTTAACATCAGTTTTGTGATCATAGTTTTTTTTATGTCTAATTTTCCAAATACAAATGCTGAAAGATTTAGACACAAATATTATCTTGTACATGAGAAAAGTGAGCGTTTTACAGGATGAAGTGGACTCAACCGGAAATAGATCCAGTGTAAGGGCTTTGGTAAAAAAAATATTTATTTGTTCATTTATACATGTATAATTATTTGTGCAGCCTATTGCATTGTTCTGAATAGCACAGATATAGAACAATTGTTGGTTCAAGGTAATAACTGTTACCAGCCACACCAACAAACTGAATCTAAAACACCACCACACAACCAGGCAGAAGAAGAAATAATTAAATATACAACATTCAGCTCATTCTTTACTTGAACAATTATTCTGCCACTCATTGCTTTGCTCCAACTTTCTTTTGTCTGCAACTATCTGCACTGGTAATTGTTTGGCTTATTCGTTACTACGTTTTTACAATGTTTCACCCCCCTTTCCTCTTTTCCTGGGTTTTGTTTTCATGTCCTTTTTTCATCATCAGTTTGCTGCTCTTTTAAAATGTTCATTGCAGGTACTATAATTATTTATGAATGTGATTATACATGTAGCTTGTGCTCACTTGCTATTTGAGCTGCAGCAATCAGTCAGCTGAAGAATGAGAGCCAACGCAGCTAATGCCTCCACTGAAGGTATTTTTAGCACAGTGGCGACAGCAGCCATTTCATATATTTGCAAATATATGCACTGGGATCCTCTGCGTTGGTCTCTGCATGGTGGTTTGTGTGTCTCAGTACCTCCCAGTGCTTGTTTGTAAAAGTCATCGAGACCTTTTATTTGCACTAGTAGGCCAGCGGGATTTCACATCAATTAAAACGAAAACTCCAGCTGCTGTGCAGTCCCCCAGAGAATGAAGTTCATAAAGTTTTTAAATTGCCAGGGCTATATTCTAATAATATTTTGCTACACTGAATCTTTTACTGTATATTCTCACACATGCAATGTTTTCTCAGTTGCTCTGTGGTAACTGCAGTCACTTGGAAAAGAGCTAGAATCCCCCTGCTTCAAAAGATTATTTGTTTACCAGGTCTTAAAATTAGGTAAAAACATCCTCAGTTGGAATTCAGAGAAAATGATAAGCTTTATGAACGGAAATAATTAATGGCTAAAAACTTGTCAAATTGATTACTTGTCCTGGTAATAAGTCATAAATGTTTGTTTATTATCGATTGGTGCCTTTAGCAAGAGGTGGATTTTGCACTAATTAGAAGCCGACACACTTCTTAAGTTTAGACTACAGAGCAAATGGAGAACACAATGCAGAAACTTTGAAAAAAACAATGGATTGATCAAACATGTCATCTTTTAATAGTGAGAAATGTGTATATATATATATATATATATATATATATGTGTGTGTTTATATATATTTATATACAATAAATGAAAAAAGGGCTGCACCAATGTTTGAACAGCTAAAGTTCACCTACCTGAGCAGGAGAATACAACCGACATCGATGGTGTGTGTGTCCTTCATGAGCCGTACTGACTCCTCCACTCCCATCTCGATGCAGCGCCAACACTCCGCCACTCGAACTCCCGACTGCCCCTGACATAATGGCACCTGACGCCGTGCTGGCAACAGCTGCTCCACTTGCAGCGCCACCGGTGGCCCCAGCAATAGCACCAATGCCCCCCATCATGCAGCACAGGCCTCCCTGAGCCAGCTCCAGCTCAATTTCCGCGTCCATCTCCGCGTCCTCCTGCGCTTCTTTGTTGGAGTCATCGAGATGCTTCATGAGAACGGCAACTACCACATTTATCAGCACGAACTGGGCGGTCAGCACGAAGGACACAAAGTACATGGGAGAAATGAACTGCAGTCCATTGTGGCAGCCGTAGTCAGTGCCCGGACGGTCCGGAGGGCACTCCCTTAGGGTGTCCTGGTGGAATTGGGTGTATGAGAAAGGGAAAAGGGGAAAAAGTCAAACAAAAATCATGGCGATGCAGGATCACATAATTTTAATGCCTGGATAAAATGGAGAGAAAAATTAGGAAAAGTTTTAAAAATCTAAAAAAAAGGAAAACTGTTTACAATATTCAGCCAGAAGCTGATTAATTAAAAAGAAATGACTTCCAAATCTAAAGAAGGTGATCAGAAGTCTACATTATACATTGAATAAGTAAAATCTGTTTTTATTTGAAATTTCCCTTCTCTGATGCTGCCAATCTATGACATTAATGAAATTGAACATTATCAGCTAAAGGAAAAGCTCATGACTCCTAAGTTCTCCTACCTAAGCATTTTCTAATCCAGGAATTTGAACTTAATTTCTTTAATTACAATGCTGTTAATCAGGGTTTTGCAGTGCAAAGATTTTTGTTTGGTCACAAAAAAACAGAAAAAAAAACAGAAAAAGAAAAAGAAATGTATTCCTCTGTGTCTTCAGAATCTAAAGATAAGTTTCTTTTGGCAGAAAAAAATAAAAGCTGTGAGGTGTCACTGGATGGACAGTGAAACCCAAACAACACGGATAATTAGACTGCCCAACACAGATGACATGACAGGTGAACATACAAAAATTAATAGACACAACTGAATTGTGTGTACCTTCATGATGCCATTCCAGTTGTCTCCGGTTGATACTTGAAACAGTGTTAGGAAAGCCATCCCAAAGTTTTCGAATGTAGCATGCCGACTCATTCCCTCACAGGGATAGTCAGCATTGCACACTAAGTGGGGACATGTTGAGGTTAACAAAAAGTCTGAACATTTCTCCCTCAATAAACACAGAAAAGAATTCACAAATTGAAATAAAAAAATCCTAGTTTTCTAGTATATATAGCTAAAGTCCTTGAATGGAAAATATTGTCAATATAGATATTATCTCAATGACCTACCTAGTTCTCCAAAAAGCTCCACTCCAAGAGCAGCATAGATGAAAAACAGCAGCATAAAGAGTAGACCAAGGTTTCCCACCTGATGCATAGAAAAATACACAAAAGACTATTATGAAGTTCAATGTTAGTTAAGCAGTGGAGTGTGAAACACAAACCAAGGTTCATTTAGCAAAAAAACATTTTTTTGACAATTGTAAATTTGTCAATGCTAAAGGACACCAGATTGAATTTCCATATTTTTTTTTGTTTTGGTAAAAATAATAATACCAAAAAAACAGAACTTTTGCCAATATTGTCTCTGAGATAAGCTTAAAGTCATATCAAATAGTCAAGCAGAATGCAGAGTAAATGAGGAGGATGAGAAGAGTCAGAAAAAAAAATCTGTTGAAAAATGTGATTGTCACAAAATTATCAAGTTTACTGCACGTCACTGCCATCTTGTGACCCACTTCTGGAGTTTGTCACATGAAAGCGATCACACTTTAATGTAAGCAGGACAACCTTCTATTAAGTCGCTTCAAGCCTTTCTTTCAAGTTGGATGTAGGAACCTCAAATGGAAGGTGAGGGTAAGCACTTTAAGATCATATTCACTGTAAAAGTATAAAAAAAAGTGCTGCTCTCTAAATATTTCCAAGACTGAACAATTAAGCAATTTCATGAGAGCAGTCTTTTTGTGAACCGAGGGGGCTAAGTGTTCTTTTTCTTAGTTTTATTATTACCAGCTAGGGAATAAAACTTTTAAATTAATGCAGCAAATGTCTCACTTTGAATAAGAATAAGCGGAGCAGCAAAAACTTGGCAGGGTGTTGTGGCAGTAAGGGTTGGAAGGAAAAAAAAGAAGCCTGACCTCCTGAAAGTCAGAATTCTCACCGAGCATTTATCAATGCCAGTCATTTATCATTTCACAAATGTTAATTAACTCCTGGGTGTCCTTATGATAAGCTCAGAGAGGGTATCTCAGTGTGTGTGTGTGGGCGTGTGCGTGTGTGTGTGTGTGGTGACATATACCTGAGGCAGAGCCTGGACCACTGTGTCAAGCAGGGCTCTCATCCCGGTTGCCATTTTCAACAATTTCAGCACTGCCAAGAGATCACAGAAAATATGACCAAACTGTGACCACAACAGTTAAAAGATGTTACGCTCAGCACGAGTGCGAAATGCTTCTGACGTGTGCGTCAGGACGATAAACAACAGACAAGTCCTGAGAAGCAGAAATCGAAAGAGAGAAAGACCCTGTCCCCATGGTTTGGAACAGTAAAAATAGAAAAAAAATAGGCAGAGAAAGGAGGAGAAAGAAAAAAAAATCAATTGATCAAATTGGTTTCCATTCTCTTCACAAGGGACCCTCCATTTTTCCCAGTGGTCCAATTTCTGGAGGAACCAGGCTGAAGTTTCTCCAGGCAGCATAGTGAAAAACCACATGTGTATTCAACAGCAGCGACCACACAGACGATATACTGGAAGCTTCTAGGATGTGGAAACTCCACAGATGGTTGACAGAGCAGAGTGTGTGTAAGTGTGTGTAAAAGATAAGGTAAAGGCAGTGGTCCCAGTGTGTGGTAAAGGTTATTACAGAGCACTGCAGAACCTTTGATGCAATTTTGTTCCCTAAAGGTCTCAGCAAAAGTATAAGTTGGAAATGCTGAAAATTGAGTGTTTTTATCTTACTTGTTATTTCTTTGTCAGGGAAAAAAGACTCATTGAATATGTTTGTATATAATGTTGGGAATTTAAAGATCTTTTAAAGACATTCTATTTCTTTGGAGACTAATGATGTACTGGGCTGCATTAAGATTCCCGGTCTGCCCTTTGAAATGGTCAATGGACCTTCACTGTGAGGTTTGCAACAGTCCAAGTCATTAATTGTTAAAAATAAGCCTCAACAACGGCACAAACTATAGGGCTTCGGAGGAAATAATTCCCATCATGGCTCTGTGATCCTGACAAAGTTTGGTTTCTGTTTAACTGGCAGCTTTTTTCACAGATTTAATCAACTGATCATCAGAGGATGACTCACTTGAGTAAGTTTTATAACCTAATGCTTAAAATGAGCCAGGATATTCTCAAGATAAATAGCAAGTTATTTCTTTGGTAATCCAATTTTCAAAGCCAATCACTACCTTTAAAATAAAATTAAAAAAATCATCAATAGTCACAACGTGTTGTGTTTTAAAAAGTTTTAGGAGATTTTTTTTTTTTTTATAGAATTGTCTGATATAGGGGGATATTTGACAAGAAAATAATTATTACTTTGGCATTTCTAACATCCTTCTGCTCTCTTCAGTGCCCTCAGCACTTAAAAGAAAAGGTTTGTATAATCATGGATTATTTAAGATTGATTCTCACCTCACAGTCACACAAAATTGTTAATCTTCACACAGAAGAGTGAAATATGATTAGAATGAATAAAGATGAAAAGTCACATGGACCCCTCAGACCTTCAAATACTGCTTCTGCTTCTTAATTACTACTAACTGTTGCTGTTAAATGAGCATATTACCCAATGGGTCTACTGGCTGGGTCCTTTGCAACATAGCAGAGGGCAGAGGGTGATGGTATGGGGGCCAGGATTAACTGAGACTGGTGTAATTAGTCTTCATCCTCCTGAGGCTGAAAAAGATGTTGCAGCCCTTAGGGCTACTCTCATTTTCAACTAAAAGCAATAACTCAGTAACTAAACTAGAAAAATATTCTCAAAAGAGAAAATAAAGCCAGAGATAGGTTACATTTTACAGCTAGTTGAGTTATAAAATGTATAATATCTCAATAAAATATGTTTTTTTCTTTATCCTGAAGTTATTTCTTATATTTAAAAGTATCATTTGATTTTTAATATTCCTTTTAAAATCTTAAGTACTTTAAAGCAGTGCTTAGCTTGTTTTTTTATGTTTGGGCGCTCACTAAGTGCTCATCTTCACCCTGTGGCTGGAAGGTGAATAACCATGTCATCACTACTCCTGGTTGGACCTTAATAGAAATATTAACACTGACCCAGCTGTACCTTTTAGCACCTACAACAATGTGAAAAAATAGTAACGAAGAAGACCAGCTTTCTATTGTAATGTTTTTTTGTGTCAAGGATATATTCGTAGTTGACTTAAAAGACAACCATCTTCTCAGCAGGCGTTCAAGAAGAAGGAGGTTCAAGGGTTGCCTGTGTGTGTTCTTGTATACCTCTTGCTATCCTGAGCACCCTCATGATCCTGATTATTGTAGGGTTGATGGGAAGTGAGGCATTTATCTCAATCTCCTCCAAGGTGATGCCCATTACAGACAGCAGCACGATGGCCAAGTCCAGCTGATTCCATCTACACACACCGGGACACACAGCAGGTTCTCAACAAAGCAACACATATTTTAAACACAGATTTTAGTTTTTAGATCATAACTTCATGCATACACACATTAAAGTTTATATCATGTCATTTGTGGATGTATATTAGGAATCTGCTTGGAGTTAGTGCAGAATTGGCTTGACTATCCCCTAAATGACTTGGCAAAGGAATGGCTGACAGCCTGCAATTACCTAAAGCCCTGATCCTGTCATCAATAATTAGACTAATGCTGGAATAAAAAGCTTCAGTGTCATATAAACAACTTGCAGTCTCAAAACATTAATAATTAAATTAATCTTGCCTTCTGCATTTTAGAAGCAATTAACTAGACAACTGTTGGGAACAATTCTGCTGGCTACAAGCCAAAAGGTTTAAAGTGCTAACTCATCACAAACTGAGAACTAAACAAGGGCCCTAAATGTGAAAGGACTGTGATGATGCGGCCTCTAGACACCGAAACAATCTAAGAAGCATCTATGTGGCGGAGAGCGTACCTGTCTTTGAAGAAGCGGCGAAAGCCAAAGGCTACTAGCTTCAGAGTAGCCTCGATCACAAAGGTGGAGGTGAAAAAGTAGTTACAGTACTTCAGTGCTGTTTCCAAAGACTAAAAGTGGCACAGGATTAAAGAGGCATGGGTCACAAAGAGATGGCAGCATCAGCATTATTCAAAAAATACATTTTTTATTAATCATTTCATAATAATTGAATCGTTTTTTGCCTGATATAACCATAATGACTTTTTTTTTTGTTTTTCATTTCAGTAAAAGAACCACTTTGTGATGTAAGGGGACGGAAAATTAAATAAAATTGTCATGGGAATAGTTCAATTTTGTTTTGTCAATGAGAACATTTTTCCTCTGAATCTCTTCTAATAGTATCATGCTTTATTAAGACAGAAAACTGGATGAAATCAGACTCTGGGGAGGAAGAAAGAACATCTTCATCTACTACGCTGTGTATAAATAATCAAATAAATAAGCATAGAAGCTTCTAATTTTCAAAAGTGAGTCCAATTTACATAACAAATCATAGGAACAATCACATTATCCTTTAAAAAGTTGATATTGGTCTCACAATAGCTTTTTGATTTTAAAATACTTATAAAGTACAATCACAAGTCAAACTCATGATTTTACAGTCTTAAACAGATTTATATTTGTAATAACATTCTGTTCCAGACATAGTTAAGCATCTTTGAAATGTAAAAGATTCAATATGTCGAGAGATACAATGAGTTGTTATACAGACCTAAGGGAGTCGAAGAATATAATTTCCACTAAAAGCCAATCTGCCAGACTGCTTTATCCTAAACATTGATTAATGGTGACTGCATCATGGAAGTTTTACTCCAAGTCAAATTTCCATAAACCTGTTAATATCCTCAAGTAACCATCTAGACAGATAGTTGTTCATGTAAAAAAAAGCCTATATATATACACGCACACATACAAACACACATATGGTCACCTGTGGCTGGCTGTAATGCTCCAGGGACATAGTGATGACATTAATGCAGATGATGAAGGTGATGACTAGGTCCAGGTAGTGACTGGTGCACAGAGCATGGATAGCCAAACGGATACGACCATAGGAAGCATAGTATGGCAGCTTCTGGGCCTCTGCAAAGAGAAGAAGTCAGTAATACAACAACATTTATTTTCAACAAGACATGCATGCGGAAAGGAAATGGTGAAATATAAGTAAGTCCAAGGCAGAACAAAACAAGTATTTTAGTTTGCTTTGCACATAAATATTTTCTATCAGTATATGGAAAATAGAAAATATAGAGCATGTGTCATTAAGGGGCGTGAGTAAGGGTGTCAAAAGTAATGCCTGGCAAAGAGAAAGATTCATTCTGTTATTTATTTGTGCCTAAAAAGGTGAAAAATGAAGAGTAGAGAGAAGTACAAAAATGAGGAGATCTGGAAGGTAATAGGATAAGGATAAAAAGGTTTGATGAATGCGTAGGAGAGGCTAAGTAGTTTTAAATGTGGGGAAATAATGAGTCGTTCCCCGTTATATTAAAATAAAACTCAAGCATATGGCACTTAGATTAAATCCGACAAGGGAAGCCCCCTTTCAAAGCTTCAAATCTAAGATAGCCATATTTTACATTACTAACTTGCAGAAATGAAATTTCTTCTGGGACTGAAAACATCGACAAGAAAAAACATTATTACTTAGATCTATTAATATTCTGAAGCAAGGCTTCACCAATATATGCCCTCTTCTGCACCACATTCATTCTCTTGATTTGTTGCTCCCCTCCTCAGAGGACAATTCTTCTCTTCAGGCCAGTACCTTCATCATCCTTTCCTCTGCTGACACAGTGGTTGCTGTTACGAATCCCTTTTCTGGTTTATCAGTCCCATCAGCTCCTTCATCTGTCTCTATTTACTTTGACTTTTTCTATTTGTCCTTTTCACTCCAACTAAAGTTTTCATTACATCTTTATTACATCCCAAAGATTCTTTCTTAGTCTTTCTTGTCTTTATCAATTATTCCCGTCAATTCCAACTTGACCTAAAGGCCTCAACTCCCTTTTTGCTCCTTCTCTGCCTCTTCTTATCCAAGACTTACTCCTCCTCTTCTTTTCCATGCGGCGCTGGCGCTTTTCCTCACGCCGCCTTGCCTCCTCCACCTCCTGGTGCTGCCGGCACTTGTGGAAGTTCTCCACCACCACACCAACAAACATGTTGAGGACAAAGAAGCTGACTATCAGGAGGAAGGAGATGAAGTAGAGCAGCATCCATGGATTATTGTTCGTCACCGGCTGAGGGAGAAGATAGGAGGAGAATGGAAGAAAATACAAGGGAGGATTAGAAGAATTGAGGTATAAGGGAAGTGAGTGTGTGAGAAAAAGGACTGACGGATGCCACATGGATTTAAAAAAGCAAGAGAAAGGGATGTGAAAATAAAGAAAAAAATATTGAAATAAATAAAGAAAAAAATGTAGGGTAAGCAGGTTTTGAGCAAGATATGATTTTCAAAGTTTATCACATTCTAAAATTGTACACTTCTCTATATTACTTACTGGCTTTTATTCAGTCTTGTGGGAAAAGATTGGTCTTGAGAGGACGTATGATTCATTTTATCATTAAAAAGCAAGTTTATTAGAATAAACTATTATTTCTTAATAGCTAAAGGCAAAATCAACGATCACTAAATGCATCAATGAGAAACATAGATTTTCTATATTTCGTAAAAGATTTTTGGAAAACGCTTTTTCATCAGCTTGTTTCGATTGTTACAGTGATAAGATCCCACTTTGTAAATATTAAGTAGCACGGGGATCACGTTTTATGTACTGTGAAGGTGAATATGTTATGATTTGAACGGGAGACTGAAAATGTAAGCTTTAAAAATATATTTTTGTTTCCAAATTCTTAAACATCCATGATTAGATTTCCACAAAAGACAAATAAATGAACTATGGTCATCTAGTTTGTCCTTTTCGATAAACAATTAGCATTTTACATCTGATCCTCACAAAGTTTTGCATAAACCCAGTTTAGCTGCAGTTTTATCATTGCAGTCTGGAAAATCTGACGCAGCCACCAATTACAAACACGGCAGACTAGGCAGAAGAAAGGAGACAATGTGAGGACAAGTTCACGTTGCTGAGTTGATTATAAGGGGAGTCATTAAAAAACAACAACAACAAAAAAAAGAGTTGAGGTGCAATCAAGCCAGCGAGTCACATTTTCAATTTAAGTGTTGAAAGCACCAGGCAGAGTGTAAAAGGGATTAGTCACTCTCAGTGCTGCGCTGGACTGCAGTGAGGCTTATCCCTTAGGTGGAGAAACTGACTCATCCAGAATAAGTCCGCTTTTAATGCATTCTCAAACAGATTTCCAAATGAATTAATTCCAAACAGAAGAGGTTCAAACTGCAGCCATCACATTGACTAAATGAAGTGACGTTAGTTGACCATGACATCACGCGAGGATTGTGTAATTATTTGCAGGACAAAAGACATATTGACTTCGAACCAGCCTATTCGAATTTAGAGTGACAAAACTATGTTTTGCAGCTTTGTGCAAAGCTTCATACAGCTTATATTGAAAAATACTGTATAGCCTAGTCAGAGATTCAGACATCTGCTAACACAACCCATTTTTTAGAGAAGCTTTAATCTTCAAATTTAAAATGTAGTGATTTAAATTTTAATCCTTCATACAGCCACCGTGAAGGCCAAACATTTGCCTTGCTTTGCTTTTACCTGCTGATCAATTCCCACAGCATCCAGTCCATGGTACATGATGTTGACCCAGCCATCTTTTGACGCCAGCACAAAGAGCGACATCAGGGCCTAAGATACACAAATATACAAGTGTGAAGAAAAGAAGAGCCCAAATCTAGACTTTAATCTTATGCACAGTTTTTAACAATGTTTTGATGAGCTTTTTTTTTTTTTCTTGAAATCATTTTCATAACCATAAAAAGAAACAATTAGTTTCTTTCAAGGAAAATATCCATGATGTACCTTTTAAAATGTATTAAACAATTCAGTCATTGATAGCTAGTGTAATTATTATGGGACAAAATGAACAAATAGATGTATTTCAAGACATTATCCAGCTTTACTTTTACTTTTCCTCTGTGTGCTATCAACCAAAAGGAAAATGTTAAATCTAAAATAGAAAATTTCTAAAGCGATTTTGAGGTGGGCCACATACTGCCCATCCAGGAACCCGGGGCTGGCTTCCTGCGGCCCTCAAAAGCGGCCTGGGAGCCTCTAGAGGAGTTGGACACTGAATATTTGGGCTCTCTGTAATATAGGCTTGCTCAGCTCCAACAGACACACTTATATGGTACACAGTGTCACTGTATTCTAATGAAATTGCATTGTTATAAGTCAGACATGTGTGAAAGATAACTGGACTGGTCCCCATTAGTATTGCTGTTACACTGTCCCTGAGTGCCAGCTTGTTAAAACAGAGTTTTTTACACCAGGGCACAGCTGATCTAAACAGGGGCATATGGCTCACTAAAAGCAGTCTAATGACACATAGGTGCATAAAGAGTCTGTGTGAGACTCTTTGGCTCTCTGCCCATTTATCTTTCTCTTGTAGGTACCTTTTAACTTGCTGGCCCTTTACTATTATCAGGGGTTTAATTTTCTATCCAACATATATATATATATATTGAATATTGTACATTATTCAAACATGTTTACAGAGATTTTAACTCATGTGAGTGAGTTTTACATCATTATTACTAATGAAAATGATAATAGTATTGGTGTTATCATTCATACACATTTTATTCTCTTGTACCTGTCCAAGGTTGTCAAAGTTGTATTTGTGATGGACCCATCGATAACTAGCAGCTAGGCAGTCCGATTTGTTTGTGATGTTCTTCACATCGAAACCCACACAGTAGTAGAACTTGCCTTTGAAGAGCTTGGAGGGAAAACACACACACATACACAGATAAATGACAACAACAGTTAGACAAAGAGGCTTGATTGGTGAATAATTATTTTGAGTAATTCTACTGATATGGTTAGTATATTGAAACATTTGCGAGGATATTTACTGTACCTGGACACCCAGAATGCCAAAGATGATAAAAAAGGCGCAGCATATGAGCACAATGTTGCCAATGGGTTTGAGAGAAGTAATCAGAGTCTCAACCACCAGCTTCAGTCCCGGAGCTCTGCTGATCACCCTGATATTAAAATAAGTAGAGGTCGAAATTTACAAGGGGAAATAGAAGAAAAAGAAAATGTTTAAACAAATAAAACTAGAAACTGCTAAACCAAATACACAAACAACATAAATATGTAAAGTACCAGTTTTTTACCCTTTTTTGGGCAAATTTACAATTATAAATATATATATATCAAGCAACCAAGTCTGGACAGCTGGTCTCCTTCTGTGTGGAGTCACAGGTTGACCGTGTGCCTGTAGGGGGTTTGTGTGGGCACTCAAGCCTTATGGTGACTTTATATTCACAGTGGAGATGACAGTCTCTTGATTAACTTGTTTTGCCAGACCTTTTCCCAGAGTGCTGTGTCAGCTTGTTCAGAATTTTTTTTCAAACCAATCTTCAGCTGTGCAATAGATGCAGGAATTAGAAAAAAAAAAGATTAGGGATTTATAAAACACTCCACAAGTATCAGCGTACCCTGTTGCAAATTCTAAGTCTTTATTATAATGTTATCATGAAGATCTTGCAGGTCACTGTCTCCCTCGGGGAGAGGGATTATGAAGCCAGTCATAAAGATAAAAAGAGAAGAATACTATTTGAAACAAGACTCTAATTGATAGGATTTTACAAGTCAGTCTATTATTTCCATGCTGACCCAAGGTTGGACTGAGAAGAATTAACTCTGCCTCTAGTCCAGTGTCAGCCATTGGGGTCCAGGCCTTCCATGACCCTCAAAGGGTTTAAGTGGCCAAATCTGATAAATGGGTGGATGGACACCACCCTGCTGACAGAGAGTTATGTCCCAGACTATTTCTTTCTTGGCTGGGGCTCATAGTTGGAGTCTCAGCATGTTGCCTGGCAACTGCTCTGAAGGCTTATGTGCTTTTGGGCAGTTGCACTTAGTGTTTATGCTAATGTAACGGCTAAATGTGCAATTGTGTAGAACAGACAAGTAAGAGAGTGGCATTGGTTTTCAGATCCAATTCATATGCAAATACCTCCTAAACAATCCTATTTGACCAAACAGTGGCATGAGCATTCTTTCTTCTCACCTGAGAGGACGTAGTGTCCTGAGCAACCGGAGGACTCTGAGAACCCCCAAGATCTTAGCTCCACCTGCCATGGACACCACAATGTCAACCAGGGACACAAAGACCAGGAAGCCATCCAGAATGTTCCAGCTGCTCCTGAGATACGCCGTCTCCCCCAGGTAAAGACCCATCGACACCACCTGAGGGGATGAAGGAGGACATATTCCACAGAGGTAAAAACAAAGAGGGCCTAGCACACTCGCTTTGATATTCACACAGCTATTTAGATTTAATTGATCATTCAGTTTGATGGTAGATGCTTTCTAGCATAAAAAGGGAGCTAATGTTTGAAGACACAGAGGTGTGTGACAAAGAATTAAAATGGGTTACTATTCTTACAATATAAAGGGAGGAGAAAACAGGAAAGACAAGCAACAGTTTCTATTGTGAATAACTGTTTTTGAAGAAACAGACAACACATTTTTACCCATGCAAAACAAAAGTAATGAGCATCTCACTCAAGTAAATTCCATGAGGATTGAAAAAGAAATTAATGAGGCAAAGAAAACTCCAAGAAAAGACGAAGATCAATGAGTTAGTGGGGGGTGATAAACAATTTTGAGGGAAGTGTCAAACACCTATCCGTCTGAGAAATTAGACACAGAAGTCAAGCTCAGAGAAGAAAGGCAGATGTGTCTCAGAGTGAAAAAGAGTGCAGCGGAATGAAAAGTGGCAAATCATATCTGACACTTACCACATGTAAGTTGTTGTGGTTTATATGTCACAGCAGATGTTGTGAAATGGAGCATCTTTGCGTGCCTTGTTTTACACGAATTGCCAACAAAAAAAAAACTGGTAGTCGCGGTTAGGCGCATGAATAACTTTAACAAAAATAGCTCTTCAAATAATTTATTCAGGAAATCCACCTGATTCTAAGACATATTTTGCATATAAAACATTCGTTGCTGCAGTTTGGTCCAATCGGAAAAAAATAGATAAATAGAATTAATGAATGTCATATTTTCTTATTTCTAATCTGTCCAGCTACTTAATGTGGTGTGTGTTTATACTCAAATGATTTATCACCTGTTTCATGTGCTCAGGATAGGCTTAAATTTGGAAAAAACTTATTTATAAAATGATGTCAGTGAAAAACCACAGGTGTCCAAAATTTGTATTGTTAGTGATGGTAAAACGGAGGATTTGATGGTTGCCATACAATCAGAGTTTAATCCAATAAGACACTATTAGAAAACGTTCAAAAGTCTGAGTGTGTTTGTGTCTGCTTCTCTTCCACTCATTGAGATCATTTTCCATGGACAAAGGAAAACCCTATCCCCATTGCATAAGAAGGTCTAATCTGGTTTAGAGAAAGCTTAAGGCAGGTTAAACCAGCCTAAAATCATTGGCTGGTAAATGCCAGCACTTTAAATGTATCATGTAACAGTTATAGCATTAAAACCCAGTGCAGCAGATACAGCAGCAGATGGTGTTCTCATTCAAAATGAATCTACCAGTGAAATTATTTTCCTTACTTACACGACATAGAGGGAGGGAAAGAAATTGCATGAAAATGGCACATTAGACAAGGTAGTGCTCCAAATGACACCTCAATATCAGTGTTGTTAATCGATGTGTTGCCTTGTCTAAAAGCAATGAAAACCATTGGCTCTGTTGTGTGAAAGAATGAGTCAAGATGAAGGTGAATGCTGACAGATGGTATGTGCAGTTTCTACAGTGTGTAGCTCACTACTCGCACTGATTCCTATCAATCATGTTAATGTGTGCGTTTGTATTTTGGGCCGACTTAACATATATAACATATAGTTCACATGTAAAAAAAGACAAAAACAAAACACAAGAGTTGTATTCAAGCCGGAGGTTTTTGCTCAGGTTTGACCACACCGCTTCCTGTTTATCCTAAAAATCTGACCAAGATGTCCAATGTTAGGAAGTGTGTTTTTTGTGTTTGATGAAAAGCAAATAAACTGAGTTTCTAAAGTTAGTCAGACTCATACAATTAAAAGCAGAAGAGTCAAGTTGGTTGGAAATGCCAGAGTTCGAAAGTCTCCTAATTATGACCCCACTCCAAGGAAAGATGAAAACTTGTTTGTTTTTGTTTTTTTTAATACTTCTCCCTTCTTCCCCTTTGGAAATCTTTACAGCCTCCTCAATCATCCTTTCAATGTTATTATACAATTCGTGCTCTGGGCAATATAACTAATACTGCTCCAGCTTCTGTGAAGATGAAAAACAGAATGTTTATCCAACAAGCACAGTTTGAAAAATATGCAAAGATGTGTAAATTTGCAAAGATTACTCCCATGATTTCTCACAATTCAATGATAGGGCAAAGGCGGTGGGTGTTAGAACTTTAAACTGATGGGGTTAAAGCTCTAGCCCATAGTTTATATATTAGACATTAAATAATTAACTATGGGAGAGTGCTGGAACCACATTTGAGTGTGCAAATAAAGTGACTCAAGGATGATAACTAATAATAGAAATAATACTCCTTTGATTAAATTACAAAAGAGCTGAGACAGTTATAAAAGAGAAATATTACTTACTATAAAACTATTTAGAGAAGATGAAGTGCTTGATATAGGAGTGACTGGATGACTGATCAAAAGGGGAGATGCACAACAGATAAAAAGAGATGGGGATGCAGAAAAAAACACCCTGAGTTCAACCTGGGGCCAGTTGCATTTCAAAACATAGGAACTGTGCACCACCCCAAAACCGGGTTGAACTACATATCATTGTACTAAACATATCTTCATTATCCCTGGTCATAAATAAATCAACATAGGATTTCTAATAGTGTGGAATAAGCCTGAAGACACAGGGGTCTTAATAATGGATGATGCCATGTCTTCTAGGGAGCAGATTCATGGATTAAAGTATGTGTGTTTGTGAGTGTTTTTATCGATGAGAAGTCAAGGAGTTGCTAAAGGCCAGTTGAGGAGCGATAGCCTACCAATTAACTTCATGATCTAGTTGCCTATCGCTAATGGGAAATGTGCAACTGATTAAACTGCAAGATGCATAGTTGTCAAGACAAAAAGTAGAGAAGATAAGAGGGATGGGGCAAATCTAATGGGATGTGGATTAGAGAAGAAGACGTGATGCTACAAGACCGTGTATGGAGAGATCGAGTAGAAAAGGAGATTTTTAAAAAGACAAGAAATAAAAATAGAGAAGGAGAAACTGGAAGAGCTAATAAAAATGGTAAAATGGTTCCTGGATATACAGTATTGAATGCAAGTGAAAGACAGGAGGACAAAAGAGGAGTATATCGGTAAGCAGAAATGAATGGCAGGATTAAGGAGACCAGAAAAAAACTCATTAGGGGGAAAGTAAGGATTTTGATTTTACCTTGACAGTCATCTCAGCAACAAAGATGGCGGTGAAGATGTAGTTGGAAACTGTGAGAAATAGTCTTTCCTGCAATAGAAAACGAGGACAACAGTAAAAAAGATTTTGAGAGGTAGGAAGAGGGGGAAAAATCATCAACAGTGAGAAATATAAACTGTGCCAGGAAACCAAATTCGTTTAAGAAAGTATGAATAATTTTCTGTGAAGTATCTGAGCAGAGTATGAGAGAAGAAAGAACCATTCATTTTAGTCTTTTACAGAACTTTTTCTAAAGCTCATTGACAGTAATTGCCTGCGTTTTGTTATCAAAATAATTTAGACTGTGACTCTAAATTGAATATAGAAATGTCAAACTTTAATTTCACGCAATTACATGCTTTAAAATATGCTTGAAATTCAATTTTTTGCTGATGCTTGATTGCAGTACATTTCCTGCCAGAATTTAAAGCTTGTGACTCTGTCCATGAATTAAAAGTGTGCTTTTTCTTTTCCCTAAAAACAGAAATCAGTCACTTGAATTAAATATTGTCGGTGTTAACGTTTTCGACAAATGTAAATTGAAAAGTCATGTGAAAGATCTTGGTTCTTACCAGGCTTCCTTGCAGAATCTTGGGCCTCTCCAGGGCTACTGTGATGCAGTTGAGGAAGATAAAGACCAGGACCACGTAGTCAAAGAGTTTATGAGCAATAATGGACTGACAAAGCAGTCTGAACCTGATATGAGAGAGAGAAAGAGGTGATAGATGCCAATTGAAGGTGTGCAGAGGAGCATTTGTTCACAAATTCTCTTTCAGGGTTTTTTTTTTTCTCTTGGGAATATCTAGGGCGGCCCTTATTTCTTTTAATCAGTCTACAATAAAAGGCTTCAGACTGACTCAATAACATTTTCCTTGTATAGAATGTAGCTGAAAAGGCAAACGTCTGAACCAACCTCACAACAGCAACACCACATGGGTTGCTGTTGTGAGGATCAAATAAACCAAAGCAACCTCAGGCATTTGCAATTGCTGTCAAACCTGTAAGTTCCCGGGGTAGCGATGGCAGTAATCAGCTCCTGAGTCAAGCCCTCGCACATCTCATCACATTTGCCAGCAACAAAGGGATCAGAATAAACCTGCTGCAGCACTTGCTTCTAAGTTGGGGAAATCAATGTGGTAATCTGACTGCTTTTCCTCCAGACCTGCCAACGCCGTCCCTTTATCTATGGATTCTAATCTGGTATTGATCATGTCCAATGCCTGCATTGGTTTAAGTGCTTATCCCACCTCAAATAAAACTTCAGACGTAGGCTTGGTCCCTCTTTAGTTTGTTTGCTTTTCTTGCTCGGTTGACTTAACACACACATATATATATATATATATATATATATATATATTGTGCCTGCACACAAGCTACCATAAAAAAAGTGGAATCGGGCCTAAACAAAGCAAAGCTGCACATATGCTAACACACTCCCACACTCACATATGCAGAGTCATCCAAATACATGTATGAACAAGCAACATGATTTTACCAGAGCCAGAGTCTAAGTCGAGTACACAAACATGCAAACAGACACTGCCACTGCTTGACAGATGGCACCTGCAAGGATGCCAAAACACAGCCCTGGGGCCTGGGTTCCCTTAAGTGGCTATCAGCACGCAGGGAATCGGGTGAGTGAGCTAGAGGATGACTGACTGATTTTTCTATGTTTCTTTCAGGGGCTTTTTTTTGTCTTTTTTTTAAAACCTGCAAAGAGTAAACTGAAAATGAAAAAAAAAAGGAATAAAATGCCATGAGAGAAATAAACAGCATAATCAATTTATCAAGCTGTCTGTGCGACCGGCAGATAGTTTACTCTGTGTGAACAGACTACGGTTTGAATACGCAACTCCCTGTTCTTCCACATTACCGGCATAGAGCTTGCGATGTTTGCAAAGATTTGTTTTTCAGGTTCACTGGTCTTATTCGTCAAGCGTCAATGTCAGTTTTGTTTCTTTTTACCTCAGTGCTTGTACAAGAGGTTTTGAAGCCAGAGCTGACTCTTGTAAGAATGAAACAAAACATCCTTACCATTTTGTTTTCCCAACTGACAGTTTACGTTTTTGGCATTTATACCTCCGGTTCGATTCAGTTATTAATGTCTTGAGCTAAGGTCAGTGGGTTTTACTTTTCCCATATTTAAGGGAGGGGTACTCAGAAAAACTGAGATCTTACAAGCACCAGCATCTCTACAAGACTCTTTGCAATTGATCCTAATATTTAATCCTTTTGAATGATGAGCAACAAGTGCTACTGGTAGAATTTAAAGTGTTAAGTTTAGGAAGAACCACAAATCCAATTATGTGCTCCATTTGGATTGTGTTGTGTATCTGTTTGTGTCATGTGAAGTTACAAATTTAGACAAAGAATTTTATGTTCCTGATTATTTTGATCTTAATGTTGTTGGAAACAGATTTGTGTGTCAAGTAGTCATAAGACCTTGCAGAAAGGACAGATTTTTTTTCAGGGGCAAACCTTTCATTTTCACTAGATAGCAAATAGCAAAGAAAACTTTGGTTGACTCACTTGTTCTGTGGGGAAAACATATAGACAGACCAGTCCTCTCTGCTCTCACACCAGTCTGGCTTGTACACCTCCATCATCTTCTGGACACGGAAGCACAAGCTCTTCATTGACAACAAGCAAATAGAATTGAGTAGAATTAGCTCCTCTGAGCAGCTCAGTCCACAAACACATTGAAAATACAATGACTGTGTATGCACACATTCAGATAATGATATACACTATCAAGTTATCATCTGTAAACCGGTCAAAATATACATGTGAACTATATAAACATCGAATCATTCAAAATGATCTTGCGATGTCTGCATGTTCTCTTATTAGAAATAAGAAAACAATGATCTTGGAATTACATTTTTTATAAAAAGAGTCAGCAAACTAAAAAACTAGATACAATTGAAGTATTAAGGATAATTTGACTTATTACAAAGAGAAATTAGGTAAAAGAAAAAAACACCTTCAGTGATGCCAGCTTTAAAACAAATTTTCTTTGATTTGATTACTCTAAAGTGATATTGAGTCATTTGAAATTCAAGTGGTAACACTGAGGGTTTGGACACTCCTGCCGTACAAAGCAAATTTAGCAGAATTACTAGCAAGTGACACTAGAGCGTGTTGTACCACTCACATAGTCGGTTTCCTCATCGAGGTCAGTTCTATCCTTGCGAGCATTGACTTGAGGGAAAACCTCAGTGATCAGGTGAGTGTGTGGTGTCTTCCCATTACAGTCGCGGTGGTCCCCTCCCAAACCGCTACCAGGACCAGAACCTCCTATTAAGGAGCACCCGGCCCCAGATCCACTCCTCCTTCCGGGATCTGGAATCTGGAAAGGTGGCAATCCCGGGGGTTGCCCGCCTGCCCGGAACAGCTCTGGAAGCTCCAGGGAAAGAGCTCTTCGATCCCTTTTCGCACCAAAATGTCGAGAAAGGAACAGTTGCGGGGGTGCATGATGCGGGGCCAGAGGGTGGTGGGAGTGCAGAGAGTGAGAGAGAAGAGACTCTTGCTCTGAAGAGTAGTTATAAGAGTGGGGGGAGCGGGTGCTGCGTACACGCAGGCTGCCTCCAACCGGAGGCGCCCCACCGAAGCCATAATTCCTCCGACCGAGACTGTTCGAGCTGGACCTGCAGAGGAGAAGAATTAAAGTACACTTTTGAAAGATATTTATTCATGTTCTAATTGTGATGCATAAATAAAGAGGAAAAACACACTATTCTGTTTAATGAATGTGTCATGACACAAATAAGAAAATGTAACAATATCAGAGATCTAACATCCAAGGGGGTAGTTAGGGGTTACTTGAGTTATTAAGAATTTATAGATGCAAAAGTGGGAATCAGTGACTACAATTGATTTTTACCTGCGACTCCATCCAGACTGTGGATGGAAAGGACGGCCCCAGTTGTGGTAGTTAGAACTCCGACCATGACGCTACAAAATAAACAAAGCATTTGTAATGATGAGCCACTGTGGGTCTGCAGGTAACTGATAAAATAAATACATAATTAACATTTAACTTAATGAGTGCAAGGCTATGACCATACCGCGACTTTCAGTGGAAACCCTGAAAAGATGAACTGCTAAATGAAAATGACGGGGTTCATTAGCATTTAAACCAACAATTAAACAAATAAATGAATAATTTAACTCGTCCTTTACTGCCCCTCTCTTTACAGGTTGCTGATTTTCAGTCAACAAAGCACAAAAATATGCACAATGTAAACAAAATTACGACTATATTACATAACATACAAAATTTTCAAGAAAACGTTGTTTTGAAATCTTTTTTTTATTTTACTAGAAATGTACTCTCTTTATGCTCTTCAAATGTAAGGTATCTAATGGTCTGTGACAGTGACTGTAGATCTGCTGCAAAGAAGAAAGTAAGTCATTTTACCAAGCAGATATATCCTTAAGAAAGGCAGTGAACCAGCATTGTGAAATTTAAATGAAAGGCTATTTTATTTTTACTTGAAGCTTTATGAATCTTATAAGTTTTATGACTATTCTCCTGTGGAAAGTCTCAGCGAGTTTGGCTAGCATGGAGTGTTTGACTTTCATGCAGCCAAATTAATAATGACTAACCAACTAATCTAACATGAGCAACTGTGTTCTGCGAGAGGAAACCAGGGAGCATTCAATGCAAGCCAAACACGTACAAGGAAATACGCAAACTTTGTGCTTCAAGTCTCTGAGAAAGTTTACAATTTCAACCTTGGTGTATAGCAAAAACAATACCAAGTACCAAAATGATTTTTAGGGTAAATGGCTGAATAAATCAAGCTGTTTCTGTACATTTCAAAATGAGACTGTGGTCCACATGGGATTGTCAACAATTTCAACATTCCACTCCTTAAGCCCCGGTTACACCCAAAGAGAAAGTTTCAGTTTATTTGCACATGACCAACCCTTTGAGTCCTGTCGAACCAATTCTATGTTTTACAGCGCAACTTACAGAACATATGCATTGTTTCTGCTTAAACTATTGTAAAAACATGAAAATGACAGGGCAATCATATTAACAAAGTAGTCTCTTTAATATTATTTGAATTATTATGACTTAAAGGGTGAACTTAAGTTCACATATACCGTGAGTTCTATTATAATCTTAATTTTATGACCACACGGTCATTCTCACACAGAAAACTCCAATAAGGAGGCAGCAGAGGCATCACACCAAGTGAAACTTAAATTGTACCATAGCACTGCATTAACCTAAATCAACTGGAAAGTATATGATAGCCAGAGTGACGCACAGACAAAAAACGATAAGAAGGTGGAACTGATTCCTAGTGATTTCATCAAAGAACAGACATGAAATTAATTTTTACCAGGTCTACAAAAAGGGGGGGAAAAAACCCTATTATCCAATGTTTTTTGCTCAGAGTGATGTAACCAGTACCTTCTGATACTGATAAACTTAGAGAGCTGTGAAAGAAGAGGAGGAAACCTTGCAGCAAAGTGGATCTCTCACGCCCACTGTGTTTAACATTATAACCTTTGCAGCAAGAGTGCTGCTAAACTACAGCTTATCATTTCTCTCATCATCTCTCCCTTCTATCTTCCTGTTACTGGGTTAGCCCGACTGTCTCCCTGCATCACCATTTTTCTGTTGTGTTTTCCTCTCGAAATGTCTCTCTGTCATCTTTCCTCTCCAAAGTACTTCTCCCACATTTATTCTCTGGAAGAACAGAGGAGGGGAACAGTCAATTAATAGAAGTTGCCATGGCAACTGTATCTAGAGCCAAACTTCTTGGCTCTCTTTCATTTTTTTCTTTCATAAGGTTTTGGTTCAGTAGACACAGCACAGGGGCATAATGAGCACAAATATACTTCATTGTTTGTATCATAAGTGTGGGTGCTATAATGTGATGTTAGTGAGGAAGTTCTGGTTAAACAGGGGCTGTAATAGAAGTGGGATGTGTGCAAAAGAGTAGAAGGGCTTATTGGGTCTACTGAGCTCCCAAACTATGCATATCTTGATAAGTCTGTGAGTAGACAAAGTGCATTTGTTAAAGAGTAATGCACTCTTACCTTGAGCTAATCTTCGAAGGACTTAAAGTCTCAATGAGGTAAATTCTTCAAATTTCATTGGAATGTATGAACTGTGTCAGCCAAGTGGCACTTAAAAATTGGTGAAAGACAGAATTGTTTTCAACTGAATTGGTGGGTTTGGGTTTGTAATACCCACCGGCCCAGAGTAGGTCGCCAGTCACATATTGGTCTTCCACCCTGATAATATTCTGATGAAGCTAGAAGCTTATTGATTGTTTTCATCATGCATGCTTAACTGAATGATTATTACAACAAAGAATCTGTTATATGGCAACCTAAGAATGCGTACATCCCTATTTTACTTATAAACAAAGCTTTTGTGGTTATCAAAGAAATGCTAATTTCCTTTTTGGATATGAAGTCTTGATGCGGTAATCATGATAAAAAAGCAGACCGGTTTCAAAGTATTTAAATGTATATTCAAGTGTATAAACTCACTGTTGGTCTCTGCTTTGGTGTAAAATTAGGTTCTGATTTTTTCCTAAACCTTCTTGATAAATCTGAAAATACACTTGCTCTGACAAAAGTTCAACTGTATTAATTTCAAGTTCACAATCATGGATGAATGTCTGCAGATGTCAGTCTTACCAGAGAAAGGGAACGTCTCTCCAGGCTGCTCTTGCCCAAACTCATCACGCTGCTCTTTATAGAGTCATTGGTGAAACTCCGCTTCTCTGAGGAGTACGATGCTCTGGCCCCCAGCTCCAAGTGGCCGTTCGGTGTCAGGGTACAGATCCTTGGGTCTGGATGTAATTAGACAAAGAGAGCAAGTCAAACTTGTTTTGTCTCGACAGAAAAATGTCATATCGTCGAAATTATCTAGATCTAAATCAGGCTGCTGAGAATTATAACAAGTCAGATGGGACATGAGCTCTCACCAGATAACTTTATGGATTCATGTTTCTCACTTTCATCAAAATTAGAAGAGGAATGGTCATCATCTGAATAAGAGCGATTGGCATCACCCTGGAAAAGAAATAATGCAAACAAATAAAAGCCATTTTAGACTCCATGTAGTATTAGGTTCAGCACATAGTGGAGCAAAAGAATGAGCTTTCCTTTCATTGACTTTGATAACACAGTGTTCAGTTAGTCCATCACAGAAATTATGGTTATGGAGAGGTGCGGAGATGATATATTTTAAATAAAAGAACAAATTGTGTTTTGAAGTTTTAAGAGCAATCATATGAAATCAGTTCCAGTTGTTAGTCGTTCCCACAAGGAAAAGTGTCAGGACACTTACCTGAATGGCTTAGGCCTATGTCCTCTCCTCAGATTAAATCAGTAAATGCTTGAAATTTTACCCACATTTCCCCTGAACCCCTCACACGTTTGCTCAGGACCAATGGGATTTCCCCTACAGCCTGCACTGTGACAGCAAATTGGCTCAATAATCCCTGGTGTGTAGCAGTGGTAGACACACAGTGGATGAACAGGGAGGTGTGAGAAAGCCAGAGGGGAAGACTGACAGTGACACCAAATAGAGGATGAAAAGTAGATAGACAGGTTGAAAGACTGATGGCTGTGGTTTGGCTTGGTATTGCAAAAAGATCAATCAAAAGCCTTGTGATGGATGCCAATGCAAGCCCCATGGTCGGCCACATTGTGAAACATTCCACACTCCATTGTATTGTAATGCTTTGGTCTATGTCTGAAATATCAACAGCACTGCTCAGCACCACCATAATTTTCCGATGTTTATATCTGTGAGACTGACAGCTGATAGCAGACTGACAGCATGATTCACGAGTGGTTTCAGCTGAGAGGGGGCTTCAGAGACATTTCACTTAATGAATTCTAAGAACTTTTTTAACCGCAGCAGTAACTTTGTGCCTGTGCAGCGATGGCAGTTTTTACCACTGCTTTAGGAAAAATAATATCTGTACAGGATGTGCTGAAGGGATCATGTTACATTGCTATTCCTATATCAAACATGATCGTATGAAGATGCAATGGTTTCTAGGCTCCATACACTGTAGCCAATTGATGCATTTCAAAGATATTGTGTGATCTCGGTAAATAGCCATCTTGCAGAATGTAATCTTAGAATGACCTGAAAAAAGTCTAATGATAATTTCAGCCTTTGAAATCTTCAATTAAAATCTACTGTATTATCTGCTATACACTACATATATATATAGATATATAATATATATATATTTTTGCCACATTTATTTAAATGCCCAGCTGTTATCTAAATAGAACTGCATCTTCTCATTCAGATGTTGTTTCTTGAAACCACAAGGCAAAAAAGCTTGTCTTATTTTAGCGACATAGGGCTCTGTCAAAGGTTAGAGTCTCCACTCCAATCCACATAGACAGATGGATGTCAGCTGCAGACTGGAGAGGACACCATGCAGAGAATGGAAGGATAGGGAGATGCCGACGAGTTAAACATAGCAGAACAGAGAAAGTCTGAAAATATTCTAAAAATCACAGGCTTCAAATTCCACTTGATCTTTGTCAGTTTACATGCAAAGTTGCACATTTATGACCACATCAAGACGTTATACTTAATAAGGAATTCCTCACCTCTGCCTGAAATCCTTCAACCAAGATGGCCACCAACAGGTTGAAGAGGACGTAGTTTCCAAAAGTCATAAGTGCCACGAAATAAAGAGCAGCAAGGGGTGAGGTAGCTGCCATGCCATTGTACAAAACCACATTCCAATCCTCCTGGGTTAGAATCTTTCAAAATTAGACAGATAAACACTTAAGGGAAATGAAGGATGCAGTGCACTTTAACATTGAGCCACCGTTTGAAATTATTCTTAGATAATATTAGCAATATTGGCTTAAGTACACTGATGTAAGCTAAATTTACTAATATTAATTATGATTTTGATTGTTATCATTATTATTTTTAAACAGGCACATTAAAATACCTGATAATTTGTATAAAAAAACGCTCATGCAAACACTCTCAAGAAATATCCGTAACTCATCTAGTCATGATGACATGATGATTACCTGGAAAACAGTGACGATTGCCCACAATAAAGAGTCAAAGTTCTTTCGGTCAGGTACTGTGTCTCCAGTCTCTGTCTTCAGACTGAATTTACACCCAAAGATGTGCATCCCAAGAATACTGTAAGAGAGGAATACATATATACCTTTTTTATGACTGGTATTAACAATTAATTCTAAATTAGACCCATTCCCATTTACAAACATAACAATTTTTCATAAATGCACTATTTCAAATTTAGAAATATTTTCACACTACAAAACTATGGAAAGGTAAAAAATGATAACATAATATATATATTAGAATCACACAGAACTAGAATGAGAAACTGGATGAATGGCAAGGCAGGCTGAGATGGGAGAAAATAACAGTCCTGTACGCCTTGATTATTCAGAAAAAAAAAGGTTTTCTTTATAACATAACCTTGGTAACAGTGCTTAAGATCCCACAAATATGTTATATGTTCAATTACCTGCCTATTATTTTTTATCTGAAGGTTAACAGCTGTCATAGTGGCCCTATATGTTTTGATAGCAACTGTTCAGCAGGTCTTCACATCATTATAAAAAGCAAGTGGATCCTAACACATACAAATACTCATAAAAGCGGAGGATGGAAAAAACATCTATGTTTCTTATGTGTTAAGACGATAACTAACACTGTTTAAATCACTAAAGATGAGTAGAGGACGCCTGTGCAGATAATCTTGCATCCCTTATCACTCACAGGTGGCAAAATGCAGGCAGAATTTTTAGTCTTACCTGAAGATGAAGATGAAGAGCATGAGTAACATGCAAAAGGTTGCTACATTGTCCATTGTTTTCATTAGGACCACTAGCTGTCTTCTCAGAGCGGGCATGAACCTCACCAGCTTCAGCACCCTGAGCAGCCTGAATGTCCTCAGAACAGACAAACCGCCGTCCGACTGGCCAACAATCTCACAAACACTGCAACAAGAGGACAAAGACAAACCACCAAGCAGGAGAAGAAAGGCTGATCGTTTAAGACTCGATTAGCATAAGATCATTAAAAAACTGAAATTTTAAAGTCCATCTATTTTCTTTAGTGGCTTATTTAAGTTCGGGGCTACAGGGGGTTGTGGACCACCCAAGCTGTCACTGGGTGACATGGACCGGGCACCAGTTTTGATCTAACTTATGTTGAATAGCCACAATTTCAATATAGCTGGAATTGAGTTAGAAAATGAAAATGAGAAATATAAATAAATAAACACCCAAAACAAACTAAACTTGGCAGCTAGAATTTTTTTTCTGAGCTGGACAAGAAATCAGATGTTACTGTGACAAATTCAACTTTAATTATTTAAAATCTCTCATCAACTCTGTTCAATTTGTTAGTGCTTTAATTTTTTACATCTGTGGCTTGTATCAAATCTTAAAATATGTTTTGACAGCATAAAAAGCCCTGAGAAAGAAATAGAATTTGGCTTCACAAAAGAGAGGTCAATAAGTAACGACAAGTGACGACTTCAGCATCCAAAAATGGCTCAGCGTTTAATGAGCACAGAGAGAAGCTCCGGTTTGTCTGTAAATGTGTGAGAACATCAATAACATGTCTGAAAATGTGTTTGAAGTTCTTCAAAGAAAGACTGACAGGACATTTGCATTTCTCTCCTTCTGTGGTGCATGATTTCACTGAAACATTCCAATAACTTCTGAATTTTATGCCACAAAGTGTTGTGGAGCGAGTTAGAGAAAGACAACAATTGGTGCTTGAACGTTCAGGTGGGAGGAATCTGCGTAATATGACAAGAAATCTATTGCCCAGTGGAAAACACTGGTAGCACATCAAAAGGTTCACTAACCACATAAATATAATCTCAGTCCTGCACTACTAATGACTGAACAGGGGCACTTTACAGGGATGGCGGAAAACATTCAGGTTGATGAAGAGAAGTAGATTGGTCCATGCGCATGAGATAAGAGGACAGTTGTACATACGTTCAATCAACCTGCACCTTCTGTGATGGGTTGCACATTTGATCTTGCTCAGTTTTACCAGCTTTGATGTGCATTTGATCTCAGGTTTATAATAGGGATCATGGGCTTCTAACTAGATGAATTGAGAAAAAAAATATATCAGGAGATCAAAGGCATTTCCATTCATCTGAAGCTCTAAGCACTTACAACAAAAGATAAAACCTGTTTGCTGTTGTCTGACACGTTGGCAACCCAATCCCTACATGGCACATTTGAATAAAGTAAAACGGATAGTGTATGACAATTTGACAAGGATGATTTTTCAACAGCGTCATCAATTTCCAAGTCAACATCAGCTTTTGAGAAACACAATAATTTACTCCTCACTTTTGTCATGAATCTAATGCTAGAGAACGCAATATACAGGATTCCTGGTTTGAATCCCTGGTGAGGTCTTTCATTATGGACTTTGCATGTTGTCCCACTGTAAGTTTTGGTTCTTTCCCACAGCCCCAAAACATGGTTGTTTGTCTGTGTGTCACCCTGTGATGGACTGGTGACTTGTCCGTGGTGTACACCACTTCTTGCTCAATGACTGCTGGGATAGGCTCCAGCCCCACACAGAAATAAATTTTGTTTGAATGCATGTATATGTTACGTAATTCTCAATGCACAACATCTGAACATCTACTTCAACATCTATTTTGAATGTAGGTTCAAGAGACATCATATAATGCATAATGCATAAACATAAATGCATAAACATATACCTTATAATGACTATGACTCCATCAAAAACATTATAGGGGTTTCTCAGGTAGTTGAAGGAGCCGAAAGCTGTGAGCTTGAGGATCATCTCCAAGGAGAACATGCTGGTGAAGACAATGTTGCAAATCTCCAGAACGTTAGTGAGCTCCTCAGGCTGATGACAAACAATGGGGAAAAAATAAAGAGGAGAACATGAAAACAGGGAGAGAAAAGGGAAGTGAGAGGCATAACGGGTAAGAACAAGACTGAGTTAAAATAGCTTAATACAGCACGTATACTGTTTTAGCACACCGTTATGTTGGCTCGACAGTGTGTTAACTGAAAACCGTAGCATGGTTATATGAAAATGCTAGTCTTAATATTCAGCCGATAGCATGAATATTATGCAGCAACTTTACAGTTGGAACCATCATATGATCTTAATGTGAACACACAATGTTAATGATTTTTAAGGTTAGCCTCTAGGTAGATATTAGCCCATGGCTTTTCTTTTCACCATGATGGACTTATTGATTCTTTGACAAAAACCGATCTAAGTTACATACAAGAAATCCTAAAGCCTAAGAAACCTGCTCTGTGGTCAGACACCACAGCTAAAATAGCAAGTTCGTTTTAAAATATTACCTAATCTCCTGTCTTATAATAGAATATTATTGACCATTGTAAAATGGTGAATGTTGCAGATGTTACCATCAAATCCAAACTAAATTCATTCATTTAGTCTTAATGACAGACTTAAAAAAACTAAAAAAATCATCTGGAATGCTGTGCAGAGATATGAAAAGTATAGAGGCATTTCTTCCTGGATTTTACATAAACAAAATGATAACTTATTTAGTACAACAATTAGCACTTGAACACACGGCCCATAACTTAAGTGAGCCTAATTTACATTTAAATATAAGCATTAAACATTTGTTTGAGTTTGTTTTTTGCCCACCACATATGTCTTTCGGTTTATTTGGTTTTGCTTCCAATAAGTGTAACGTTAATGTGTAAATCAGTTTCTCTCTTTTCAGCAGACCTCATTTGAGGTCATGGTCTCTATGTCTTTCTGTTTCTGGATTGAAAAGAGCATAAACATACTCGTGAATACCCACACACACCCACACATGCACACAAAAACACACACACATATACACACAAACAAAATGGCTAATTTAGGCCAAATCTGGACCTTAAGCATATTACTGTTCTAAATAGGTCTTCAGTAACTTTTGCAATGGCAGTTTTAACATTTTAGTGGCTCAGAGTAAATGAACACTGGGTGTACAACATTTAACATTCCTTTGTTTGTATACGTGAGTATCCATTTGCACTGCTGCATAAAGTGTATTTCTGTCTCCTAATGAGTGTTTAACAGTGAGAATACATTGGCTAATGATGTATGCCTGCCAGTGTCCAGAGCAGTCAGAAAGCGCCAGCAGCCCCGAGAGACTCACTACTACCATCTCATTACTGCAGATCTGGGAATAAACCCATAGTGTTTTGGTCCTCTGATGAATCAGAGTCAAATTGCAGAAGTTAGGATTGGAAATTCCACTGATCAGAATGGAATTAAGCTAATAAAGAAGACACACCTGTTATGTCCTTTTAAATGACTATTCTGTCTCATCTCACTGGCTGTGTGCAGAGTACATTTGACACATTTAGTGCATGAGGTACAGGGCACTCAGAGGAGTTATAATGCAGGTAACATAATTTTAGTACAAATGTATTCACAGTTAAACTGTACTATAACCAGACTGCATTTATTATAGCTAAAAACTAATGTTTTAATAAGAAAATTAACAAGTTCTTCCTTTAGTTATTATCAAATCTAAATGACTTGTATCACTACTATTTGTCCAAAATATGCTGCTTCTAAGTAAAAAATGCCCCTCCTTAAAACCATCTTAGTCGAGTTATTAGTATCTAATGAAAACTTCTGCATTAGCGTTTAATCCGAAAATAGAATTGTGCACATTTATGCTTTCTTTTATAACGACAACAATTACTTCATAGTAAACTTTGCTCCAGCAACTAATTTGAAGTCCTTTCTGACATGTGACATGCTCTTTTCTTTCCAAGACGTATTGCTTGAATGGCACTCTCTGCTCTGATTGGCCCACCTTTGTTAGCGATAAGACTGATATCAGTCGTATGGTTGAGCAGTACAAAAACTATACGAGCTGTGAATGACTGATTTTCAATAATTTCAAGTTGCTTAAGTGTGTGATCAACCCCAAATAATGAAAATCAACAATTTTTCAGTGGGAACAACAGCAACGTTTATCAAATTAATGTTCTACCTGTTCAGTTAAAAGCTTTCTGCATTGTATGAGCCAATGGGTGCCTTTAAGGATCAATTCTCCACCACCTATTTTATTCATATTCAGATTTACTATTATGCAAAACCAAAACTGAGTTAATCTTCATTTCTTCCAGAATACCTTGTCTGTAAATGCAAATGACATTTAGACTCAACTGTCTAAATTTTACATCCCTATTTAACAAAGTTGCCAGTGGCCGTAACAACACCGGTGAGCAGAAGATCAGAGATGAGTTGTCTGATTGCGGTGTTCAAACAGGGGGGCAGAATTACTTTTCTGTGAAGGCAGAGCAACACCCAGACACCCCAGCTTACTATTTCCTCCCTATTAACACAGCAAAGTCTCCCTCTGCCACTTTACTTCTCTGTCTCTATTTTTAGCCGCAGCCGGGATGAGAGACGACCTACCACTGCGGCGGTGGCAGGCATGAGTGGGCGATTGTATAGCAAGAGCAAGAAATATTGATAGAAAGACAAAGAGTTCACAAAGCTCAGCGACAGAAGAAATGGGAGATGAGGGTAAAAATAACTTGAAAAATAAGTTTAAAGGCAAGATGAAGCATTAGTTTAGTTACTTGAAAAGCTTGGTAAATGCAAACACTTTCTCACCATTCTCCCCATGTTCTTTTCATAACTTACCTGTAGCGAAGGCTGGTCATTCATATTTTACAGTGATTAAGATATACAAACTAGAAGAGGGCATGGAAGGTAAAGAGGTGGATGCACAGTCGAGGAAATGTGGAGTTTTTCACTGCAGAGGAGTGCAGACACAGGGTGGCAGGCAAAAAAATGAAGACACTGTGGTTTCACACTAGGAACAACATGGTTGTCACTTCACTGTAGACTGACTGAAGCCAGCAAGTGTATTAATAAAAAAATACTGAATGAGCCGATCTTTTGATTTCTTCTGCAGTGGAGTGAATTTGATGGTTGAAAGTTGTGTTACGACACAGTCTCTGTTTTTGAAAAACTAAATGTATCAGCTAACCTTTGCTGTGACCCGTAAAACCTAGCTCTGGTGTATCTTCTCTTTTATTTTTAGTGGTCCTTGATTCAAGAGCTTGGCTAAAACTCACCCTGGCCTAAGTGAAACTATTTGGCTTTTACACTGAAGTGAACATCTATTTCTTATAAACACTCATTTCTGATGCGTGTCAGTGTAAACACCAACATGAGGTTTAAAGAACTGCTTGTAGACATGGAAGACAGGATTCTGACTCAGCATAATTATAAATAAAGATATGAGAATATATATAGAATGTTTAAAGTGACAAAGATCAGAAAATATTTTGACATTACAAAATTGAATGTTTTTTTAACCACGGAGAGTTTTCCCAGATCTGCTTTAGCAGCCAGCTGGGCGACTGATTCAGAAATCCATGAATCAGTCATGAATCTTTACTGTAAACCGACTGGACAGAAGCCTCTCCTAAAGCCAAAATGCAAATGAAGTGGAAACTGGGGAATTGCCATGAGCTCTATGAAGTAAATGAACAATTTAATCAACACCTAGGATCTACCTCATTTACACCACCCTTCAGTCAAACAAAGGGGTGGCAGTATCATTCTGTGGGGATGCTTTTCTCTGCAAAACAAATTACAGAATCAAAATATAGGGAGAGAAAGTGAAAATGTCTTACTGAGAGATAAGGGTTTCTAGGTGGCTTAGGATCGCAGGTTTTGGTGAAAACGGAAAAAAAGTCAATAAATGCATTTGTATCTCAGCAAATTTTGACTTTAATATCTAGCACTTGAAAAATTCTGCCAAGAAAAGGTACTTGGAACCTTAAAAAGACTAATATAAAAGGATGATTCATTCAGACCGGAGGCTTTAATCATGGCAAATTTTGGTTTCACCAAAAGCATCGAAATTCCAATTTTAATTTCACTATTTGCACAAATGCAAGAGAACAACAATGCACATCATGTTGGTAAAATGCCAAAGATGCCAGCAGTACCTGCTCATGGTGCTCGATGCCCATGCTGATGGTGTTGATAAGGATGGCGATCATAATGCCTCGGTTAAAGTACTTGCTCTCTACGATGCTCCACAGCTTCATCCTCAGCTCGTACCAAAAGTCCTCGCAGCACTTCTTGGGGCTGCAGCCCGCGGACTTCCCTGCACCTTTATGGCCTTTCTTGTCCTTGTCCTGATCCCCGGCTTGATCGTCCTCCCTGTCTGCTTCTTGCAAGGCTCCTTCTTCCGCTTCGTCACCAGCTACGCTGCGAGCTGCCCCCATCCCATCTTTGAGGGTCAGCGCCGTGGCGCACTGAGGGCAGCCATCTGTGGCAGAGGCAGCGGTCAGGGCCACGGGCTCAGCTGCTGAGGCCCGGTCTGGTCTATTATGACGAGGACACGGAGAACCTGACATAATGCAAATGGAGAATGACTGTACGACACATCCACATACTGTACATTTTTGCTTCCTTCATAATTTTTGCAGCTGCATACCATGTCTCAACACCGCCCTCCTGTCACGTCCTTCTCGCCCATTGGCCTTCCTCTGTCTTCTTTCCCCTCTCGCTCTACCTCTACCGACACCACGGAAGCCACGAGGTTTCCCTCTTAGGGTGTTGAAGAGCGCTACAGTTTGCCTCCTGGCTTTGCGGAGAAAGTGACACATCAGCTGGAAGAGCTCCTCGTAGCAGTCCCCCGGCTCACTGGCCAGCGTGGAGGAGGAAGAGCACTGGGCTCGCTGCTCCTGCATCAGCTGGTGCTCCCGCTGTTTGGTCTCTGAGAACTGTGTGGCGATGACCACGAGGCACAGGTTAATCATAAAAAAGGAACCAACCTGGGAGGACAAGAGAGACAGAAAGACAAAACCAATTATGTTCTGAATACCAACACCCGATTACATGCTTCTTAGTGTTTTCTTGCAGTAGTTCTATTATTTAATGATTTAATTTAATACAAATGTTTCCTTTCTTTTTAAATTGTTGCCAGACAGTATAAAAACAGTCTACAATAGAAAAATATTACTCACAAATAAATCCTGCTTTCTTGCTGTTATGCTGTTATGCTACAACCAACTGAACTCTTTCTGTAGATGGTGGAAATAAAAAGTAATAATTCTAAAATATATATTTTTAAATCACTGTTACTTCTGGAAAGTTGATTAAAATTATTAAAAAATTACATATCCCTTTTCTTTTCATTAAACTCAAAATATATCCATATCTACATAGAAGTGCAAGCTGAATTAAATACAGAATTAAATATGCGTGATAAGAATGGTGGCATTTTTCTTTATAGGGAGTTGGGAAGCCAAATCTCCCAACATTGACTATGCAACTTCCTGTTACTGGCCAATAATTTAAGTCACTGCTCATGTGGCAAACCTTCTTAACGCAACAACAGATAAATAAGTAATCAGTTTCCTAGGAAAGCATCTGGCTCCGGGAGGCTGACAACAGTTCTTTGGGGTCATGTGAGGTGTGTTTTGGGGACTGTTGGGATCAGGCTTGATCCAGATAATTCCACAGACGCTTGATTAAACTGGGATCTGTTGAGTTTAGAAAATGGGATGATGCCTTGGGCACTTTTTCATGTGCCACGAGCTATTCCTGAGCTGTTATACAGTGGTTTGGGTCTTACTTTGATGCAGGAGGAGTTGATAAAACCACAAAGTGGCCTTACCATGTTCTCGGTATTCTGCATTATACTAAAATAAGTCAGTATATGAAAGATTAGAGAAAGGACAGCGTGGCTAGCAGAAACCTATCATTAGCACCAACTGCATGGAGAGAGCAAAAGAATAAGAACAGAAACATATGTTTACAGTTGTCTTAATTTTGTTTTTATGTTTAAAAAGACTTACTTTCGTTTTTATTATATCTTACTTTTTTGGGGGGAAAAAGGTTCTTGCAGAGTTGCTTTGCTTATTTTTCAAATTCGTAAAAAGAACTGAAATGCATGCACATTTGCTGCTGCACATGACTGGCTTAGACCACTTTCTTTGAGACGCAGCAGGTGACACTAATTTAGAAAGAGTGCTTGGAAGAAAAGAAAAGGGTCAATGTCACCCCTAGAAGCAAAGCCAATATGGAAAAAGAGTGAAGGCAATAATACAAGGAAGGGAGAATGTCGTCCATCATTATGTTGGATTTAATCAATGGTGATTGTTATCCTGATGACGACCTTCAGCTCTGCAGAAGTCTGGAAAAATATGCTCATATACAAGCGACGTACGAGTGCATGTTTTCCCTACTTTGTGCACTTTATCGATCGAAAGTAGTGAGTCATCGTCACACGGGTTGGTTTTTACGCCGCCTTTTCAAAACTCATGGACTGAAAAGAAGGCAGTGGGTCGCAGCATCCATTCAGTACCCCATCAAATATTTATACTCACTCTCTGTGGGAACCACTGAAATGCAATTTGATTATACAAAATGTGTGTGCGTGTCTTTTCATTTTTGGTATTTGCCGCAGAGTCACTCTGCGTGAGAGAACAGTTTTTAAATGACAGAAGGAAAGATTGATTTTATGTTGCAAACAAGCTGCACAAAAAAAAAAATTCTACAAAGGAGCAAAGGACACCTTTGCTCTGGGGACATAGAGATGTAAAGGTCCAGTAAGTTTTAGCCCTCAAAACATTGATAACATGGCGTGTCATGACACTTGGGAACCGTTTTATTATGGCTTTAATTTTTTGAATATTCACAAAAAAAAAGAAAGGAAAAAAAAGTTTACATGTACTGTGGATGTGTACAGGGACGTTTTTACTAGTTATCAGGTATGCAGAATGCTGATAACATTCATAACTGAATGTAAATTGGGGGATTAAACCATATAAAACTAAGAGGCTTATCAAAGAGAGGTTCTGAAACAAAACAGGACAAGGGTGTCACTTCTGTAGGCTTGATGCTAATTAAATAGGGCCAAGCCATTCTCCACATAAAGACTTTATTCTGCAGAGTCCCCCCCTCCAAGCAGAACATGATGGCAATCACCAGAAAGAATTCTTATAACTCTCTCCATCTCTTTTTCTCTCCTAATTTCATGAGTTTTTTGCATTTGTCACTCTCTCTTGCCATCATCTAGTGCCCTTCCAGCACTCATTCATATCACATCTGACTCTACCTCTTGATCTCAATTTCAATTTACCACAGTTGATCTGCATGAATGTTACGTGAGTGGAACTGTCAAATGATCTAAACGTCCCCTTCTTTCTCTCCATGCTTCTCTCTCTCTCTCTCTCTCTCTCTCTGAGGTCTGCTGTTATGTGCTTCATCCCATCCCTCAGTACTCTGTATATCATGCATAATTCTGCAAAACAGAATTAAAACTCTTTCCATCTGTCTGCCAGGGAGACAGAGACATGCTAAGATATGAGCAGAACTTTAACCATATGAATAGTAAAGGACCTAAATCACTTGGCTAAGTCCATTTCTGACCCATGCTTTAAAGCTGTCTGTAAAAAAAATCTAACCATAACCATCGATTTGCGCCATAAAGGATGTTGAAGTGCCTGTTTCTGAAATAAAATACGTATTTTTTTTACCTTAATTTTCATTGGTATAACATTAAAGAAGGATTTGGTATAGACCATGCTGTTTGACACTACTAAACCTGATTTCTGTGATCAGCATGTCTGCTCCAACCATGTCAGCCCAGAGGACACGCCTAGGGATTCACTCTAATTAATACCATTTCATTTAACATCAAAGAGAGTGCTCGTTCCCACTCATTCCTCCTCCAGTCTTCTGTCTGATTTCACGCAGACAATCCAGTCAGTCACCACCAAGTCCTGGTCTTCTCTCTTCATCGATCTATCAGTTCATTTTCCATTCCTCCTTCCTCCATCATCGCCTACCCTCTTAAATTCTCTGGACATCATTCTTCCCACTTTCCATAATCTTTTCTTTTTTCTGCTTTCTCACAATTTAATAATCTTTCTTTCCTTTTTCATCTCCTCAAACCCTTACTCTTGCCTTTGGTTATTTCTTCATTTTCCTGTCCCCTTCCTCAAACCTTCATCAGCCATGTTTCCACATCAAAAGGCAACCATTATATCCCAAATTGTCTGTGGCGAGGCAGTGATGGATAATGTTCAACAGCAAATCTCAGAAGAAGCTTGGGTTTGTGTTCCTTTGCCTGAGTGCGTGTGCTTGTGTGGGTACAGTTGTGTGCGTGTGTGAATACATTTGGATGTGAGCCTGTTTCTGGGGATATGTGTGTTTCTGTGTGACTGAGAATAAAGGGAAGAGTGACAGATACATGAATGGTGCCAAATGTACAGCTCAGTAAGGAAGAGAAGATGAATTATGAAGGCAGCAGAGGAGAGTAAGGATGCAGTCAGAAGGTGGCGCAGATAATAGGAATGGAGTGAGATTCTGAGGGGAATGGGAAAGGCAAAAATGAACCAGGGAAAGTAAAGCTATTTGATTAATTGAGGATAGGGAATGGTCAAGTCTGGATAGAGATTGATAGATTTAAGTAGTGACACTAAATAAGTGACACTGTTATCACAAAGGGAGTGAGAAGGAAGGTAAAATTGAAAAAACAAATAAATAAATAAATCATTTTCAAACAGCGAATGTTGGCGACTAAAGGTATTACAAAGAGAAAAGTCAGATCCTGGCTTTCATAGGGCGCCCAGTCATGCTGCAATAATGATACAATTAGCAGAGATAGAAGGACCCTCTGATCTGCTAAAATAGAAATATCCTAAGTAAAATGTGCATCAAAGCTCGCACACTAAAACACTCTTTTACACACATAAAGCAGACACTAAAGGACTGAAATTAAAAAAGTGTTTTATCTGAACAAAGGGGAGATTCTTCAGGGATTTGAGCTGAGCTCTCACAAGTGACACTGACAGCTTCAGTGTGTGTGTGTGTGTTTAAAGGTGAAGGGGAGAAACACAAAGACAGCTGAGAAAGAGAGAGAGAGACCAAGCATGTCTTGCAGCTAGTATAACAACATTGTAGGTTTTTTGTTTTTTTTTACTCTCAGTATTTTTCAAAATCCCGTTAGATATAAATAATGAAATGCAATATACAGTATATTTGCAGGGAGAACCATCCATGACTTACTATGATGAGCAGAATGAAGTAGATGAAGTTGTAGAAGGAATGAGCATCCATCACATAGTACATTATCTCCACCCAACCCTCAAGGGTTATCACCTGCAGTCAGGAGAACAGACAACAGTAAAGTTAATTTGGAAAGAAATCTGATACAATTTCAGAAGAAAATGGACATCAAGCTAATGGAATATTGGGAAATCTTTGTATTTAATTAAAAGGCAACCATCATTTAGATATCAAAATGCATTTCACATCTGCAGCAAGTGGACGGTAAATGGTTAAAAGGAGGGAGCCAGGCTGTTTCCTTGTACTAAGCTAAGCTTAGGCTAACTGCAACCTGATGCTTTCCAGACAGTCACATTAGCAAAATAGTCACTTTTCCAATACTGCCTCTGGACACTACCACAATGGAATCAAAATAAAGAAATCAGGAAGTGAAATGAGTGTGGTGCTCTGTACATTGTATGCATTTAGTTGCCAACACCATTAAATACATTGGAAACTGCTCCATTTCTTCTCCAAAGAAATTCACCATTTTTAGAAGTTAATAAGACCCACCTGAAAGATGACTATCCAGGCATAGGCAATGTTATCAAAGTTGATGGCACCTTTGTGCGGGTTGCTGACTCCGGTATGGCATCTTGTGTAGTACTGGTTCCAGTTAACACACAACCCTGCTACACTGACGCTGCCATTATTCAGAGGTTCAGGACTCAGACCGAGAGAGTGGCGGTACAGGACATCCTCTTTATCCAGGCAGCATGCCCTGCCGCCTTCGCGGCGGGCCGGGACATCCGAGCAGGACATGATTCCGTTGTCAACAGGTAAGGAGCAAATGAAAGGCCGCTCGTCATCCTCATCTGCCATATAGTACGGACGAGGAAGGCTGATGCCTGTCATGCTGGACATATAGAGAGTAAGTAAATAAAAGTAAATAAATTAAAATAATTAAAAGGCAGAAAATAGGGTGGAAAATTACATCAACCTCCATCCACAAAAATACAAATCTATTTAGAGGAAAATGGAATGGAAAGAAAAATATGCATATGTATAAAACTGAAACAGATAAAAACAAAACTTTTCTGTCTTTCATGGAGATTTTGTACATCTGTGCAGTGTGAGACTGGAATTGAAAGCAAAATGTTCACAAACAGAGACATGAGTGGATGAAAGGATAGAGAGCAACAGACGGATGATTATGTTTGTAATGGTAAAATTGAACAAAATTACAGCAGATAGAGACCGACTCGAAGGTGTAGGAGGGTTGTGACACATTTTTAACCATACTGAAGCTACCAGATGTCTGACAGCATTTGCCAGACGTTGTGAGTGTATTGTTGACAATCTACTGCGGTTTTGGTGGTGCACCCAGCACTGTTGGTTTTATTCTGCATGTTGTCCTGTAGTCACATTGGACATCTTACACTGATGACAAAGCTGGCCTGAGACAGCTCACTGACCAACTGCACAGTCTAATGAATCACTCACTTCACCCATTTAATTTGACCTTTATCTTTTCATCCTTTCTTTTTTTTTCTCTCCTTGTTTTCAGAAGACAGTCATACACAGCCTGCCAAACATATTGGAAGCCGAATGCCAGTGTAAGCCAAGATTTCACACTGGATCCAAACCCTCAAACAAAGCTGTTAAAACGAATTCCCAACAAAACAACAGTCATATTTTATATTGTTCACACCTGATAAAATCATCTAAATGGTAAAAAAGGAAGAAGAGGAATAGGTCCTGTGCATCTGAAACAGATGATGGGGTGTGTCAGTGCCTGGTTGCCAGAATGCCTCTCTGGCATTAAGAAGAGTGGCAGAAACCTTGCTGTTATGCATATATTTAATGGGCAAGTGCATGTTGTCATTTGTACTGAATAATTAGCTTTGTGTGAGCATGGACATGACTAAGTGATATTTAGAGGACTATTTTCAAGGGGTTTAATGTGCAGACCACCCACAATGTTATTCAGTCTGCAAACTGATGCAAACCGTGCACTTTTCCCCATGTTAATGTCTCTTCTTGGGCCATCAATGCACACGTGACAATGTGTGCTTACGTCTATAAGTTGGACATAAGAGGGACTGGGAGAGTTGATGATGTTGTTTTTTCTGTGGCTCTCCTCTATTTCAGCTGAATATCTGCTCTGTATATTTTAAGAATATGATGCTTCCTCTTTATGAGTAGACCAATGTCCATGTGTCAGTGACGTTTCCATCTAATCCATTGGAACACCGTTATTGAAAATGAATCCACCATGAATTATGGAAAGATTATTAAATGTATAAATTGACTGTTCTTTCAGAAGAGTGCAGAAACCAAATCAGCCAAAGTTATTTTTTTCCCACTAAATGAATAATTTTTACAGCTATTAACTGATTTGCACCGCACCGGTTACAAACATATTTTGTTAATGTATGATATTTAAATAATAGACTCCAGCCCCCCTGCAATCCTCATAGGAAAAAGCAGTATAAATATTTAACGACTGAGATGTATACATGTATATACATAATTAAAAATGTTTTGATAGTGTACATGTATGACATTACACCTTTTTTATCTACTTGAGATTTTAGTCAGATCGCCCATAACTTAACAAATGAAAAATTGGGGAAATGTTCTAATACAAGATGAACAACTAAATATGCCTATCAACCCTCTCTTACTACTAAGAGAAATGTCAAACAGCCGTTTGTTCTTCCCCGTTCTCGGTTCGCAGCTTAGTGCCCTCATTTCATATATTAGCATAGCAAATCTCAGGTTCCTATGGCATTTTGTGCGCTCAAATTAAACCTGGCATGTCATATGCATCAGGTAGTTGTTGTTTGTGTGCAGGAACAGACCCATGTTCCTAGATGTGATTACCTACGAACTACATGTGGCTATAACCATTTTGACTATGACTTTTGTGTCAAAACAGAAGTATGGGAACAGCCAGTTTATATAAGAGAAAGAATATGAGACAGACACCCACCTCTGTTACTTTTGTTGCAATTGCACACTCCAGCAGAGCTCCCATTTCTATTCGGTATTGAGCCAACACTGCAACAACAATCAAACTTTCTCTAATATTGGATTTATGAGGTGTGTATTTCTGTAAGGAGGTGATTATGTTCACCGGCAGACAAACATCAGTCATTTCACACCTGACAACATGTTGGACATCTGTCAATAAGGGCACCAGCCAAAGGCATTGTAGTATTATACGTGGTATCATAACTTTTAAAGTGTGATTCACTCCTGTCACACTGTTTGTAACAGTTCATTGCTAATGGGAGTATCACACAGAAAAAAATCGAACCATTTTAATCACACTCACAGTAGAATAACCTATTGCTGCTTTCCCCCTCCTACCCATCTTGGATATAGTTGACAGGGTTGCTATAGTGACTGCCTACCCCAACATCTTCTCATTAGATCATTATTTTCTAGACTTGGCAATGCACGCTGCCATTCAACCCAAACCTCCATGAGCCAATAGCAGCCTAATCAAAGGCTTGACTGATAAGCTGGTCTCCCTGGCCGATGGTTCACCACGGTGGTGTAAGCTGGACTCTTGACGTGCTGTTTGAGTTGCAAGCCACAGCTGTTAGACTTCCAACTCATTCGGACGGAAATAATACAATTGTTTTAATTTATATCTCTTTTCACTTTTTGTTTCAGGTTAAAAACTGAAACGTACCCACTTTTTTCTAATGAAACTACATTCTACATGAGAGTGAGGTGTATCTAATAAAACAAGATAACCTTCCGTCAATTAAAGGAGTTATTATGGGCAGGAGAAATAGGTATGGCACACTTCCATTTATCTGATTCCAGATAACTACTTTGCTCTTGATATTATGAGCTGAATAATGGTTGAGCATTAACGTGGCTTTAAGTAGAGTCGCTTCATTGAAGAAGCTCTTGAGGAAAATAGCCAATTCTATGGAAACTCACCAAGGTCTTTTAAAGTCATCCCATTTAGTATCCCATTATCAATAGCTAATGTCTTTGTGCTTCATGGAAACCATTTCAAATCAAATTGTGCCACCAAAAAGGCAAAAGATATGAAGCATGTAAATACTAAATATCCTTGCTCTATTATATTTGCATTACACTGAGTTAGAAAATCTAATTTAAGTGATAAATGTTGGGTACTTACTGAAGAGTTTAACTGCACCCGGAACAAACTATACTTTAGAATATATGACACTTACATCTAACATGGATATGGCAAACTTTAAGTGGATCAGTGGTGGTTTGGGAGGAAGTAAAAGTTTAGGAGTATAATTGATTAAACACTTTCCATCATAGTTAAAATACATCATAGTTATTGGTCAGAACAGAGGAAACCCTTCCTATAAAAACCTGACTGCAGAGTATCAAAGACCCCAGAATTTCCAATCCCAAATGTGACAACATAATGATGTCATCCAGAGATCTGTGACTGGGAACAAAATTAAAAACATCAATTACTTCTCTTTACCAGCATAAGGGGAAGAGATTGTGTTTTTACCTTGTGATTCATGTATTATGTTAACTCCTTAAAGATTGTGTTAATCTTGGTTAAAACTCATCTCTTTGCTTTCATCAATTTTCTTTCAATTTATAATGAGCATTTTTATATATGGAAGCAGATGAAAGTTCAGTTAATTTAATCTCCCCTATCACCCACATTTGATATAGTCTTTCAAACACAGTATCACGTAGAGCAAGTGATGTATGCTACCTGCTCTAATTTTAATAGCCACAACTTTGCAGATGCATTCATACTCTTCTCCTCACTGAAGGAAAAGCTCCATGTAATTTAGTTAGAAAACAAAAAAATGGTACTTACAAATGTATTTTTTTATGAAACCTCTATGACATTGTGCCCTCTTGAACATAATTTACAAACATTTATTTGACAAATTGCATTAAAAATCTGTGTTAGTGTTGAGTTGTATTAACTTTTACCAATCTGATAACGATTTAAAGACTAATGACTTGTATTTCATCTTACAGAATCATCACATTGAAGTCATAGCAGTTCTATACCAATATTTGTATTCTACATTCTTAATGTTTGTACATTTCATTTAGTTCCATATAAAATTATGTAGTAATAGGATAAGCATTTTTTGTTCACACTTTGTCATATTAAAATTCACTCAACACAATATTTTCTGTAATTCCCCTTTTTAATTAACAAAAACAAAAAAAAATCAAAACCCTTACTGTGGCAATTAATAATACTGTGAACTGACACAGCAGAAGTTAAGAAGGTGACCAAAAATGGTGTCAGCTTGTAATTAAGTGCCAGGATTGGTTTTTCTTTAATTATTTCAGCTTTGTGAAGATTTTGATGTGCACAATGAGGTCAGCCTCATTATATGACCACTTGAGAGACTGAAGCACTGAGGGAGCCCTTGCCCCTCTCTCACTCTATCTATGGTGATATCAGTAAATTGTAGGAGATGATGTGATTAATCTTCACAGTGAGTGAGGGCGAGTAATGAGAGGAGAGGTGACAGACATCCACATAGGAGTGTGTGACACACTGGTTTGGAAAAGCACATGATGTGGCAGCAATGTAAATGTCAATGCAAAAATCCTCATTTTCAAAAAGCTAAACTGGTGTATGTTAACACCGTTGGGATTTTAAGTACACAAACAGGGGGTGTGACAATATGTGGACAGGTCGTGCAGTGAGAAAGCAAGACACGCCATCCTTGAGCACACTATTTTCACACACCAACACGGTAACTAGGCGGTGACTCACAGCGTGAAGTTCTCCTCTGGGTAGCAACGGTTCCTCAGCAGTCCTGCCCACAGCTGCACCCCAATGATGCCGAAGATGAAGAAGACGAAGAAGCAGAGGAGGAGGACATTACCAAGCATTGGCAGAGTGTCAAGCAGCAGGTTGACCAGGATACGCATGCCTGCAGGGAGACATGTAAAAGGATACTTGTAGACCATTGTGTTTGATTCTCATATTAAGCAATTGATTTAAATCCACGTTTTTAAGTGGTTTAAATCAATATCATAACCACTTTAAAAAAAAATCCCAGCTGGACTTGGTACAGTGGTTGAAATCCTGATTGGTAAAGAAAGTTTTTTCTTTGTTGATTTGACTTCCAACTTCTAGTGACCACATGCTTCCTTGAGAAAGACATTTAAAACGTGTTTTTTTCCTGAAACATCCAAATGTATGCAGTACAAAAAATCCACAACCTACCATGTGCTGTGAGTCTGTGTGTGTGAGTGGGTAAATGAGGCTTGCAGTGTAAAAAGATTTGAGTGGTCAACTAGATTAGAAGAGCCCTGTATAAGTGCAGTTAATGGATGACTTGAACAGCTCAAACAGCTCACAGGGTCGCAGTGATTTTTGCATCAAAACATGACTCGTTCCAACTTTTTCTCACCCCTTAAAAAGGTCGAGGGAAAATGTCAAACTGACAAAAACAGAGAAAATTCTGTCAGAGATTCAGCAGCTGTGGGTAAAAAGTCTTCAGCTTACCTGAATTCAGACCTCATAAACCAAAGTCTGAACTTTACTTTATGATACATCTCTGATATATCTTAATATTTCCCCACTACCTTGATTTTTTCCCGTTTTTTTTCCTCCTGATTCTCATTGTCATGCTGAAATTGCACTCCCATTTCCATATACCCAATCTTATTATCATAATTAGCTAATCAATCTGTAATCTCCATGCTAATTCTCATCCAACGGGCCATTACTTTAGTTCAGATCGCTACAATGAAATTTAACCAGGGCTTAATTTACATCTGTAAAAGAGATTGAGGATTGATGCAGTGTTTAGCTGACTAATCAGGGGTAAGCCAGCTGGGGCTCCATAAACCTTCTTTCAGGGGATCTCACTAAATGTTCCAATGACTTCCGTTGTTTCATTTCATTGATGCAAAGAATAGAAAAGCTTAAATTAGCCTTTAAAGAAAACATTTCCCTGAATTTCCATTAAACAGTGTGATAAACAAACTTTCATAAGTTGCAATAAGTTTCTAAGATTCATTTCATGTGTACTGTCACATTTGATAAAAAAAGCATTTCTCATATTTCTTTTGAAAAATATACACTAAATCAAAGTTTAGAACAGATAACACCACGTGACATTCGATGAGCAGAATCTATTTATGTACTTGATGCTCTTCATGTACATTTTCCACGTATGTTTTTCTAATGATACAACTTTTTTTATCTGGTTGTCAGAGAAACACCAAAAATATTCTTCTTTTACATATATTTCTATAACTGTTTTAGCCCCATTCTTAACAACAACATTAAATAAAAGTAACTGATGTGAATCTAACAAAACTTCCTTGAGCTATACCTAAGTGGAGGTCTAACCCAGGCCGCACTGGTCTCAGATACTGACCATCAAACATATTGATTTTCTCTTTTGAAGAGTGTCGATCAAAACTCTTTAACTAAGGAATTCAACAAAATACAAAGGAATCATCATAAATGCTACAAAAGTACAAGAATCTATTAATCCAGCTGTAAACGGACAGAATGAAATGTTTAATGTAAATTGGGGGGAAAAAAGAGGAAAGTGCAATCAAGATTAGAAGTGACAGTAAACAGTATGCAAATGGAAGACGGGGACAGAGTGAGAATGTGCTGATGACCGTTACCTTGGCTGCTAATACACTGTCTCCCAAAGGGGCTTTAGGTAATGCAGAAAACAGGCCCCAGCCTTTAAGCTGTGACCAGTGGGAGCCAGACGCGGATAATTTCCATTAGTACCATTAACTGACTCACTACACACATACTCCACTGAGAGTGTGTGCAGCTGCTCACTCATTCTGAGTCCACACGTGTATGTTTGTTGCCTCAGCTTTCGATGTCTGACTCCATATATCAGGGTGCTGATGTTTGTATGTGTATGTGTGTGTGTGTGTGTGTCAGTGTGCGGTGTTATGCAGGAGTGGTTAGACTTTGGACTAATCCTTTGAAAAATCAGCACTAGGGTTGAATATTGATTCCATTAAGGATCGAATACTGAACCGATATTACTGATTCATTAGTTCAAACCCAACAATGGAATATGACTCTTGCCACATCCCGATGATGCAGCTTGCTGTGAAAGCTCATAGTTGAAGATCAAGCTTACATTCAGAATGCTAACAATTAGCTAATTATCCATTAAACGATCAAGTAATTTATTTCCATAGTAGTTGCATATACATATTTGTATAACTAAACGCACAGTATAAGTGATGATATCTGCATAGTGTGACAGCGTCCTCTAGAACAATTAGTATACAAAATCATCATGCTCTCAATTTGTTTTTTTTTATTTTTTCTTTCTGGTACAAATAATGCAAGAAAATAATTTAACTAGATCAAAAAGTTTTTTTTCAAATCAGAAATGATAAACTTCTGTAGACAGTCAAAAGTTAAACTGTATCATATTTAGTAGCCAACTACTATCTGATTTGGAAAATGTGAGACTTCACAGTTTGCTGAAAAAAAGCTGAAAAATTTCAATATAAGCCCTTCATACTCACTCATGCTCGTAGGAAGGCTGATTGAAAAAACATGGTTGCTAACTGCACAAGTTGTCACTGTAATTAAAGCTGCATTTCCAACCGGGAAATACGGTACCATTTAATAGTGAGACAGCTTTAAAAGGTCTCGGAACTTTACCCTCTGCCTGCACAGACAGACTCCAGCCCCTCTGCCCCCCCTCTGGATGTATAGAAATCTCCACATATGTGTAAATTGCATCTGTTTAACCACGTGTTGTCACATAAATATCTCTTTGTCTTTTTAAAAGGAAGAAACTACAAAGGATCCCAGAGGTAATATTTTGATGAAATGTGTATCGTTCTTTCTTGCTATCCTCATCACTCCTACTCTTTGCACACTGAGCCTATCTGACTGTACCTGTGACTTCCTCCCTGCCCTGCACTTACCTCTCTATCCATCATCGTATTCACCTTCTCATGTGAGTGCCACAGAACCTCCCCTCTCAAGCTACTTTTTGTTCTCTCATTCATCCTCACCCATCCTTCTCAGATCTGAATAATCCCATCTTCCCTCCTCCATTTATCTCTTTTGTTGTTTTTTTTCCTTTTTAAGTTTCACAAACCCAAATGCTGTGTCCCTTTTGAAATGATGCCAGTCAAACCACAAAGGAAGCACCCTCGTCTCTCCTACATAACAGAAGCTGTTGTTTCCAAGATCAAAACATTTTTTTCATCCCCTTACCAACAGATAAACAAATCTAAGAAAGAAAACCTAGGGAGTCGCATAAGGAAGAGTTGCTGGATCACACAAGTTAACATGGATATGGCATTGTGGATTATTTTTACACAGATTTGATAAAAAAGAAAGAAAGAAAATAAAGAGTGAGCAATGGTTGTGCTTTAATATTCTAGATATCAATTTTCAAGAAAATTCCAGAATTCTTGCTTAGTGGAAGAACAACAATAATGCTTTTAGTAAAACATTTTGGGAATTATTTTGCAAAGGTTAGGGAACATTTTGTATCAGGATATTTTTTTCTTTTTCCTTTTCATGAACTTTAATATTCCACAGAGTGGTATAATCTGTGTTTTTATTGTGATTAAAGTCACAAATAAAGCAGACACTGCACATGGATTTTATAAATCATGATAGGTTCACCGTTGTACAATTGTAAAATCATTACATTATGTAATAAGAAAGTAATAAGATATAATGACTTTGTTTTGGGAGTACACATATGACTTCATCTAAGCTGTTTCTACGTCAGTTTTTTCTTTAATACGAAATGTTTTTAACCATTTTTATTTTATTTGAATGTACTCTGTAAAAGTTGCTTTTGACAAAGCCTAAGAATGAGACAAAAACATATAATTAACCAGCCTCCTTGATTAAAGCGCTCACATTATTATATTATGGTCAAAAAAAGAAGAATCATGAATGCCAGACGAGGTTGTCTGGTTATGATGTTGCCGTCTCCGCTGACCACTCCTTCCTGCCTGACTTCAGAATTCAAAGAAGATCATGAGTATACTCGGTTTCTCCCTGTGGAACAAATTACTCCCCAGAGAGCTGCAAGAATAGTTTCAGCCTCAGCTTGAGGAGAGAGGGAGAGATAAATGAGGTGAACGGATACAGAGGATGAGGAAGAAAAAAGGTGACGAAAGCAAAAAAAAGAGGAGACGGGAGGGGAAGAAACCGTCATTAACCAATGGCCCTGACTGAACAGCGTAAAGCATGAAATTAATCAAAAACCAATGTGATCACAGAAAAACAAGATAAGGAGAAAAATAAAACGATACCTAAAAAACTCTCATGATCTTCTCATCTCAAATAAATGACAGAGACAGGTAATTACTTAAAGATAGGGGAGAAAGAGAGACTGCTATAAAAACATTGCTGTCAGCATGTATTTCTCAATCACCAAATTGGGCACACCTGATTTTGAAGAAGCAAAATGTAAATTCCTTATTTTATGCAACAAATTCATGAATAGCAGGAGGTATACAGCAGCAATTATAAAGGAAGCACAACAGAATTAATCTCAAGCACCAGCATGTCGAACTTCGAGAGTGTTCAGAGCCTCTTAAAATGATTGCCTGCTAAGTGCAATTTATACACATAAACGGAAAAGCAACTGCCAGCAAGCTGTCAATACCCCTCAAAAACAGCAGAGACTAAGCAGCAGTTCTTAAATTGCTGTAACAGGGTTGTTGAGCTCAAACAGAGAAGGAGTGATGGCAAGACTTTTTTTTCTTGTTTTTTTTCATTAACTACAACAGCTTTAGTGTTGAGACATTCACTATTTCAGGAATTCAAATAAAGCCTATGTCAAGAGTTTGTGTCCTCACACAGGATTAAATTACTTATCAGAAACTAAATATCATGTAGTTTCGGTTTGGTTTGCTTTTGTGGCACAGGCCATCTCTTTTTAGGAAGCAGGAGACTAAATTACAGCCAACGGTGCTCATGTAAATTATTTGGCTATCTCAAAAACAACAGATAAATGGTCAAAATGGCATAATGTGTATACAGGAAAGTGTCTTCAGGCCACAAAAAACAATCTTTTTTATTTTTTAAAGTTTCTTATCTATTTATACTTATTTCATGTCCAGTGAATGTTTTTATCTGCTTCACAGCATTTTCTTTTAATTTGGAAATGCTTCTCTTGCTCACTTTAAAGCTTTTGTTTGGCTGAGATGTGTTTTTGTTTGGCTGGATAAGGGTGTTAATAAACTTTGTAATGTCTTGAAAGTAAATGTTGCACTAATGTGATTAGAACATTTGCAGCTCCTATAAAGTCAAGATCATATAAAAGCTGCAAGTACTGCTTTTATGCTCCCCCATTTGGTGGATTTTCAGCACAATGTGTTTTTGGGCAGCTGTCCATGGTGCTGAAAATCTGCCACGAATGGCATTACGTGTATATATATATATATATATATATATATATATATATATATATATATAT